CACCTTAACATACATTAGGTCGTTCACTTGGGCAATGCTTTGGATTTGGTTGGGGCGCCTGGTGGATGGGTCTTTTTTTTTGCGGGGTTTCTTCCCTTCCCCCCCCCCCCCCCCCGGGGTTTGGGGGGGGGGGGGTAGAGACACGAGGATGAACAACTTTCGTGTGCACTCATGTAATGACTTACGTGCCAGACTGCGTGACGACCTTTTCATCAACAGAACATCACAACAGAGTGATACTCAGATGATAACGGCCGGACGACTCCATGGATGACGACGACGACGATGGTTTCACCACAGAGCAAGAAACGACACGTCCAAGGCAACGAAACACAGACAACAAACACAACCCAACTAGATGCCCGTGTTCCGAAGCATCCTTGCAGGAGGGAGAGCAAGGTTCAGATAGACCTCTCGCAGGGAGCAAACAACAAACACGCTTATTTCCGCACCAACGCGACAAAACACACACACACATACGCATTGACACAAAACACCAAACACCAAACACATCAACAGCCAAAGCAGCGGAACAGCAACAACTCCCTCTCCCTCCTTACTTCGCGGGGAGAAGGCGGTAATCGCTCCGCTCGCGTGCGCTCGTTCCCTCGAGCAGGTAGTGCATCACGTGGAAGCACCGCTCCCCCGGCGCCTGGCCCGTCACTCTGCTCTTCTCCAACAGGTAGTTGGTCACCTTGCCGCCCCTCAGCATACCCTGCACCACACAGAACAGCCAGTTTGCCCACGATTAGACGGGCCATTCGGTAGAGAGCGAGTGGTCTCTTCAGGGCGGAAGCAGCAGCCAGCGCACTGGTGTGTTGTTATCCTGATCGATTGATTGGTCAGTCTGTTCCGCAGCAAGGTCTGCGGTGTGGGGGAGACTTATGTAGATCCTGCTCTTCGGGTGATGAGGTGCTTCAAGAGCGCGTTCGTTTGACGGGTGACGATTTGTTTAACCAGCCCCTTGTTCCAACCAGCGACGTCTATCTGTTACGCCTCCAAGCACACAGCAGTTCATGACGATCACAATATTCTGCATGTTTTGGGAAACCAAGAGTAAACATCTGTCGTCTTATCAGATGCTTGACATTTTAATACCGCCTTCCGCGTGTTTTGGGCACGCGGGCCGTCTGTGTCGCTCTCCTCCGTGAGATACGGTACCGCCACCTTGACCCTCTCCGCCTCAACACCAGGACTGCCAGACGCCAAGCTCTTACACGCGTACCTTGAAGGTGAACTGCAACTCCATGTACTTCCCGAAGCGCGACGAGTTGTCGTTACGGATGGTCTGCGCGTTGCCGAAAGCCTCGAGGATGGGGTTGGACTCCAAGAGGTGCCTCTGGACGCCCTCCATCGTGGCTTTCTGCTCCCGCCGGCCATGAAGTGGAACCAGAACGTGCACGCGCGTGTAAGGAAACCCGTGTGTGGTGCATACAGCAGTAGACTATTGTAAGGCTGCTCCCAAGATGTTCATTTGGGTCGGTGTTCCTGTGTTGTCTTGTGAACTGATCTTGAATAGTCAAGCGAATTGGTGGAAAATCGCGATCGGTACATGAAAGAAGCTGAAAATATGCAGGTGGCTTTGATTTTCGTGTAGACTAGGCATGACAAAACAAGTGTCACGAAATGTGTAAAGTACTTGTACTAGTATAAAGGCGACAAAAGCCAACCCGACAGACCCAGATACAAGTCTCTGACATCTCTTCTTCGCGTCTGTCGACAGAAAGACGCACAAAAACCGCTTGGAAAGTCGAAATAACTCGTGTCATGCCTGTTCGACCAAGGTTATCCCTCGAACAGGTAGTTTTTCTGTGAAGTTATGTTTATTTTCTAAAAATGCCGGGGAGTGGTGGAGTGCTGATCAACCTTGAGAACCTCGCTTGTCCCTTTTCGTCGACTTCACCGCACCTGCGTCTCGCTCGAGGTCCCCACGGTGGTGACGAAGTGCATCAGCTGCTTGGCCGCTTCCGTCTTACCCGCACCGGACTCCCCCGTAACGATGACGCACTGGTCCCTGGAGTCGGCTTGCAAGCTCTTGTATGCTTCCGCCGCCACGCGGTAGATGTGCGGGGCCATGAAGTCGCCACCCCCCTGCACAGGCAGTGTTAAGCAGTGCAAAGCAGTGCCAAGTGGCAGAGCAGAGTAAAGCAGAGCAAAGCAGGGAAGAGAAGAGCAAAGAAAAGCAGAGTAATGCAGAGCAGAACAGAGCAAAGTAGTAGAGCAGCAGAGTAAAGCAGAGCAAGAAGAAGCAAAGCGAAGCAGCGCGAGAGGTTGGAGGTGCGGGGTTTCTCCGAAGGCTTGCGCACCGTTTCGTCGGGCGCGACTGCGGCGGCATCGGTGCCGTCCCCGCTACCGGACGGTACGTACCACGCAAGAATCGCTTCGATTTCATGGAATGGCTACCACCCTGTCGCAGCTAATAGCGGTCAACCGGACGTGTGACAGATAGCTAGCGAAGACAGAGCCGAGAGTAAGCCGCGGGCCTAGGACTGTTGTTCAGAGCTACAACAACCGCACCGCACCTAACGCGGCCTCCCGCCCAACCGAAACCAGGCACAGCAGTAGCCGCTACGGCCACACTACCGTTACACTGCTGTTACAAGCTACCATTATTGTGCTACGCGTTTTCGAAGCACGGCTGGATGGCACAATCCAATAGAGTACCTTTCGGTGGTAGTAGTCCCTGACGCCCGACGTGTAGATGCCCTTGCCCCCCATGCTGAGCTGCTTGTAGGGATTCACGGCGATCAGCACCGGTCCGATCGAGGTGTACATGTCTCCCTTCTCGCACCTCGTGCGGAGAACCTGGTGACGGACATCGCGTGGCCCCGAGATGCGCAGCAACGGTACAGTAGCAGAAGGAGGAGCAGGAGTTGTGTGCGTTGTCGGCTAGGGGGAAGGGCAACGGTGGAAAGAGCGACCGGGTGGCGTAAGCTTATGGGGATATGCAATGTGGAGCAATCATTCTGGTAAGGGCGGGGAATGCTGCCCCGGGAGTGTTTTTTTTTCAGTATATGGTACGTGGTTTAGAGACCACAGGCAGGCAGGATTCTTGAGGTTCTTCAAAATATCGCTGGGAGGAGAATGCTTGCCATGGTTCAGCGTATGATAGTCCAGGCCGTGTAAGAACCCCCCTATAAACGTAGGCGTGGTTGTTTTGGACCCGCACGGCCGACACATGCCGCCAGCTTCGCCGGTCGGTGCGAGACGTGTGTTGTGTTGACTCAATTGTCGGGTGGGCGCAAATTTTCCGCACAACGGAATGGCGTTGAATGAAGCTTTCGGCGTTCAAAAATATCATGATCGGGTGTGGGGAGTGGTGGGGGTGTTCTCATGCGCGGAATACGATGAATTGCGTTAAATGAAAGTGAGGAGATGTGACACTTCACACAACCACACCGTGGGTGATACCCTTAGACTCTAGCGGATGTGGATGACGTCGGGCGCACTCTGCGCGTCCCCCGTCCTCCGTTGACGGGTCAGGTCAGGTCAGCCCTTGTCTTCACCATGACACCACAGCAGTATTGTAACGTCAGCGTCGAGCCGTACGAAAACACCTCCCTTCCACTGGGCAAACAACGGCCGAACCGTCGCGGTGACCCGCAAACTGGACTGACTTTGTTGGATTTCCACAACAGGGCATGTGCGAGTGGAGAGATAGACAAAAGAGAAAGAGAGAGGGTGTGTGTCAAGAGAGAGGCGTTTTCGTACAGCCCAACGCTGATGTCACCATACCATTTATGGTAGTGCCGCGCAGCTTGCCGGATGTCTTCCCGCGGCGTGTGTGAGCGCGTGAGTTACACCTACGGCAGTAACCTGAATTTGGGTCGATCGTTTGCTTGCTCGCCGTTGGGTTGGAGTGTGTGTTTGCGTGTTCATCAACCAATCACACCAAACCGGTCTCATTTCATGATGTCTGTCTATGGTTGTAAAAGATGCAAAAGGTGGATGTATGTGCCAGACGCGTCCCTAGGTACTACTGCTGTTCGTGTTCTGTCGTGCAGCGACGTGGAGGTTGACGTTCGAGGCCCGAAAGTGACTAGGTGTTTTCAGACAAAAAAAGTAGGCCGAGGAAAAAAAAGAAATGGTATTATGCGTACAGTCGGTGAGTAAAAAGTAAGTAATAATAGTCGATGGGTATACCAACCGGATTGTCGGGGATCAAAAAGGACAAAAAAATGCTGTTGCGGCCTTGTGCGCCGCGGTGATGTTGGCCCTCGAGACTTGCAAGAAAATTCGTAAAACCTCATGTTCATGCTGTGCATGGGCCCTGGCCATGTTGCCCAGGGGTCATACCGGGATTTGGAGTTGTTCCACTTGCTCACTGGAGGTGGCCGCGAGGCGTTATTCCAGGACTAACTGCTGCTTTTTATTTTTCCTTTTTCTTCACTTTTCTTAGATCCCCGGAGACGTCTACTTACAGCCCCTGGTGTGTGTGTTGTTCCTTTTGAACATCTGTCCCGATCTGTTGATTGCTCCTGCGGTGATCGTGTTCAGCAAACACTACCGATCAGCTCCTGGGGATAGTTCGAGGATGTTGAGGCAGCAACTCGGATATAACCTCAAGCCTGTGATGTTCTGAAAGGATTCGGTCGATCTGCAATGGCTGCGGCGATGTATTATTAGCGACGACATCCAAAGCGTTGCCGAGTTCATCAAGACGAGTGTACAAGCTACGCCACAGCTGCTGAGTGTGTGCTCCGAGACATGCATAATATGTAATCAAGTGATGCCTCCGGAGTGAGCCCTCCAGAGTGGGCTCATAAATGCATACTACTTTATTATATGCATATTTACAAAAGCATAATTGCTCACTTTGACGAACTTGGGGCAAGTTTCAGTTGTGTTGGCCCTTTTTATCCCCCCGCTCTGTTCGAATGTTTGTAATGTTAACCGTTCATATGTATGCATACCAATGGTGTTCACGTCATCCTCGTGATGGGCGCGTTCCGAAACTACAGTAAGCAGCCCCTTTCATGTACGCCTACTTATTTAGGCATAGGCATATTCAGGACCTACCCCCTACCTGAAAATAGACTATTCATCTAAAATTTTTAGCCTGAGGCCAAGCGCTGAATGCTGCTTGCCTCCGTCTACTCCACACAAGTCAACCTTTGTCTAGTGACGGCAGCCATGCAATCATGCGATGGATGCCGCGCTTATATCTTACTCTTGGAGTACACTTCGTACTCCGTATGCAGCTCGCCTGGCAGCATTATCCATCGGAAATGGACGCAAATGACGGCGTGTGTGCTCTCTGCTGGTGTCTACTGCTGCTGCTGTACGCCTAATAGTGAAGAACAGGAATTCGGTTGATATGCCATTCCTTCCTCTGTTTGTGTTTTCATGGGTGGTCTCCGTGAGAAGCACGGCCACCATGAAAGAAAGCCGCGGCTCCATGTCAAGACAGGAGAGAGAGCAGGATGGAAAATTTTGAGCAGCAGCAGGGCTAACAAACTATTTTCTCCTATTTATTTTCTGAGGAAACGCGGAAGGTTTTCGGTTTTTTAATTTTTTCTGCGAGGAAGGTTGGCAACACGGGTGGTGGATAGATGGATGTTTTCGCTAAAGCGTTGTGGCTGGTGCGCCTTGGGGCCTCACGTGTATGGACGTACTGTAAGTTAAATCCGTCCACGGGCAGCGGTGAATTCTTTCTCAACGTCAAACGGAGCATTGAGCATTCTACCAGTAACGATGTTGATACTATGCATATGTACCGGAGTTCATGGAATGTTAGAGAGGAGGTTCGATTTCGAAAATCGGCGGTCGGGTCGGGACTCTTTTTTTTTTTCCCCGTGAGAGGACAGACACCGTGTGCTGGGAAGGAAAAGAATGCCGGAAGTGCAGCGGTCAACTCATGCTCCGCCCCATCTCTCGACTACGAGTGGACAATAGAGGACACAGCAGAAGCAGCGCATATGGATGAAGAGAACACAGCAGTACGAGTAGTTATCGCTGATTGCGGACAGCTCGGCGTTTTCAAGCGGTTCATGCGGACACATCTAACCACGAGCTATAATGTCTCATGTGAGAGGCGCCGTCATGACAGCAAACAGCAAACCGGAAAAATACGGGGGAGATCGGTTGACACATTTCGTCCGTATTGTGTGCGGTTGCTCTTGACCATGCGTGCGTTCACGCGCGAGGCAAGCCATCCTCCTTGGCCATGAGCAACAGGCAACAGACGTACACTTAACAGCGACCCCGAACTACAGCAGCAGCAGCGAACATTGACAGACGCATGTTGCATCGGCTATAAAAAAAGTGTCCGTGTGCCGCCGTCGAGCCAAGCCATGAATCGGAACATCCGAAGCGGGCTTGATGCACACGCCTGGGAAATCACCACCGAGACACCGAGAAGCCTCTCCCGTCCTCCGTTCTCACCTCGACGATGCCCTCATTGCTAACGTTCTCGAGCAACACCAAGTCATCCACGCTTCCCCTCGAGTTCACTTTGTCGTAAAACTGAGAATAGTCGATGGCATCCAAAGCCTTCGCCGCGCCGCGGGCAGCAGCGCGCGGAGGCGAGCCGCCGGGGACGCGCCCCGCCTTCCCGGACGCCTGCTTCTTCTTCTTCTTGCCCCAGAGCGAACCCTTGCGCCCCCTCATGGCTCGCACGCAGCTCGGCCGAGAGGAGAGAGGGAGGGATCAAATCAGAACAATACGTCCCTCTCCTTGCTAAGTAGCGACGGCGTACTGCGTTCGTGCTAGGAGCAACCGCTCCGAATGACAAAGGCACTGACGGGATGTTCAGCAGTAGCTCAGACTCGGGCTGGCCGATCCGTACGCCTCGCGAGGCTAGAGCGTGCAAAAAGCGGGGTTACGCCTGTGTTTTTATCCACAGCCCTCCGGCAGCGGTGGGTGTGCGGACGTGCGTATTCTCGAGACACCAACCACGCACTGCCCTGTGGTTATTTTGAAAAGAAGCTTTGGTGAAGAGAGAGCAGTGCAGACGTGCAGACCATCAACCGAAAAAAAAAACTGGGCAACAAGATCAGGTGGGATTCCTACAGTCCTTTACCGACGAAATCACCCCGCTCTCTCCATATCTCTCTCTCCTCCACACCAGCACGTGACCAAATCTACAGCATGTTGGCAATGCGTTCCTCCTCTCTCTACCACACTCATTGCGTTTGTTCAGACGTGAACATGGACGACACATGTACCCGCGAAGGAGAGAGAGAGAGAGAGAGAGAGAGAGAGAGAGAGAGAGAGAGAGAGAGAGAGAGAGAGGCAGATCATGCGGTGAACCAATCAATAGATACGGGAGACAGATCATCATCGCGTGTCCAGGAGAGCAGCAGCAGCAGAGCAGCAGCAAAGCAGCAGCATCTGCTGGGCGCACTGCAAAGTCTGGTCATGTCCACACTCACAACCTCTAGGCGCGATAGAGGGGAGACGAGCCCACCGACAAACAATTAAAAAGGCGATTTCAATGCTGCCGGTCCCGAAGAAAACATACACTTACAGCTTGGGCACACATACATTGTAGAGCAAGTGTACGCATTTGACGGAAGCACTAAATCTGGTGTGAATTCGAATGTTCGAATCCCAACGGGTCAACGTGATGCAAATATTATTATATTATTCCACATTTTTTTTTGTCTACCGCAGTAAGGCACGCGCCGACGCTTTTGCGGCAAGGCAGGCTGAGAATCTTAATCTTCTCGCAACGACAAACGAAGAAACGCCTTCAACAAGACTTCAGAAAAAGATACACTACTGTAAAAACCGGGGGAATTGGAGACTTGGTGTACAAATCATATAATATTATAACAACAGCAGTTACCAGTGTAGAGCTGCACTGTATTCCCCCTGTGTGGACAAGGACAGCAAGCCCACCCTATCACCCTATTTGCCATTTAGACGACAGGACGTACACATGCCTTCGAGCGGAGTACACATGACTATCTCGAACCCATCGAGCATCTTCTAACTTCCACAATAACCTCTTGATCTAATCACATTGCTGCCGCTGCTGTGGGTCATGTTGGCAGCTGTGTTCCCGGCGTCACCGGTGTTCTATTCCACATCCCGTCGTTTCGTCGGCGGTACGAAAGTTGGCCTGTCTGAGGGACATACCTACAAAGCTGACACAAGGCACCCGGTACTGGAGATCCCGACAATGAACTACAGTTTTTACACCTCATCTAAATGCATACATACTGCTGTATGCATACGCTCCAGAGAACGAAATCGCAGACAGCAGACATGGATGGTCTAATAAATAACTAAACCAGAAATTAGAATAATGCGGGATAAAGCGGCTTCGCAACACACGCCAGTTTATGTTTGGAGTAGGTTGGAGAGTTTGTTGGTGAACATCACTCGCATCCGATGCGAATGATGTTGACCTACAAACTCTCCAACCTACCTCAACATAAACAGACGGGGTCTAAAAAACTCAGTCGACCTTCACGCCTGTGCAGCCTCACCACAAGGTTAAACTACGCCGACATCAATGTCCCAATGCCAACTAATAATGCTTACCTTGCGAACTCTCCACATCTACTCAGCAAAAACTGACGGGTCTAAAAATCAGTAGACCTTCACGCCTGTGCAGCCTCAAATGAACGGGTGCTATACACCCAACGATTGAAAAACAATGTCCCAATGCCAATTCCATCTGGTACAGGAGTGTATCCCACTCGCAAAGTCGTCAACACGGTCTTCTCTCTCGAAGCTGCGTAATGTCTCCAGCTTTTCTTGCCGCAGTCTGCTACAGCAACAGAGCAGCACAACCACCTAGTTACGACGTACTAACCAACCGGATGAGAAGCACGCCGGGAAAGCAAACGGCAAGGGCCGTCGGGAAGAAGAGAAACCGAGGGGGGGAGGGGGGGGGGCGACGACGGGAAGAACAGCAGTGCCATCAAAACGCGATGTCGAAATGATTCGATACAAAGTGCTAACCGCTAACGGCTCTCGTCGTGTGAACACACCGCTGCATCGACGACAATTAACAAAACGGAAGTGCAACAGGGGAAGAGAAAGGCGTGTTCCACCTTCAAAACCTTTGCCAGTCCTCGCAATACCCGTCCGTCGCGTACGGACAACAGAGTATTACGCACATGGACATGCCCGCCCGACTCGCCGTCGCGGCGGCCCTTGCGTATACCCCACACCAACCCGACTCAGAACTGCTGCCTCTCCCCTGCGCTAAATAAAAACCAAGCCACCGAATCAAACACGCACCTGGCATACATAAGATATAGCGGCCGACCACGCCGAGACCAATCTCTTGTCCATACAAGCCCCCCCCCCCCCCTCCTCTGCGAGCGCGGGTGAATCGAGTCCACACCCGTAACACGGCCAAGCTGCTCAAACGACGGAAGCAAACCAGACCACCTTCGGCCTTCACGAAACCCACCATGCCTCAACGCCTCAACACCTCCCCCTCGCAATCCCACCGCCTCCGCCCCCACCGCGCCCGCCCCTTCGCCCCCACCCCCCACCCCTACCCCGGGGCCCCGCTGCACCCCAAGGCCCGCCGCCTCGATGGGGAGGAGATCGTTTTCGACGCGGCAAGTCAAGGTGGTTCTGCGGAGATGGGAGCCCCAGGTGGGGGGGGGGTCCACGGCCGGCGCTTGGCCCCGGCAGGGGTGGGGGTGACAGTGGTGACATCGGGCTGCCGGGGGGGGGGGGACTCATGTAAACGCTTGCCGTAGTCGGTAGACCATTGGGGACGGGGGGGCTGTAGAGGGGTGCTGGGAGAGGGGCGAGCGACACGCCCGCTGATATCGTTGCTCTCTGGTGGGCGTTGAGGAGCAAGTTGGTAGCGGTCTCGGTGACGATGCTCGACAGGAAGGCGATGGTGGCGTCGCCGTGAGGAGCCGACCGGATCAGCCGAAGGACGGGGTTGTCGGCTGGCTCGCCCGAGCCCCCCTGTGGCTGCAGCACGTGGTTGAGGAGGAACTCCACCACGGTGAAGGTTTGGAGGCGGAGCTCGGAGGGGACGGGCACCTGGGAGGGCGAGAGGTTCATCGGAGGGTGTAAGGATGATTGTCGACCCCACGGGCGTCACCTCTTGGGCAAGACCGCAGAATGGGCAAAAGGAGGTACCGCTGCACTGCCTCTTTACCTTCTTTCCATTGGCTGCAAACAGCGCGGTGTGCCGGTCCTGCCGCATGGTTTGGAACCCAGCAATCACACCGCAAAGCCTGAAACCGTCAAGAACCTCCCTGGCACCTGGAGCAGACTATGCAAATACAGCTCCTGCCCCATGCACTTATTCCTCTTCGGAAAGCACCGACAACAGCACCGCCGTGCACCAACCAAACCACAGCCTACTCACCACTTCCATGACCACGCGTTCAGCCCCCGGGGGAGCACCGTCGAAGTGCTTCCGCAGCATGGACGAGCCGTCCAAAACGCTGTCGAGAAGGGCGCACCGTTCGGGACAGCCGGTCGCGACTGCTGAAAAAAATCGCGCCTCGTCTTCGCCGAACGCACCCGCGAAAGCCCTCGACGAGAAGCTGAGCGCACCCCCCCGGAGGACGTTTCCCTGGAACTCCCTGAGGCGTCCGTCGAACTCGCGCACGACCTGGCGTTTAAAGTGTTTCGGGGATGTCGTGTAGCCATTGTTTCGGTAAAAAGTAACTGGCCAACACGGCTCAAAATGTAGGAGTCGTTTAAGTCAGCATGTGGGGGGAAAGTAGCGGCATTGACGTGCTGCCACCGCCGCCCACGTACGTACAAGTCGTTTCGCTGACACCGCGCGAAAAGAAAACATGGGCCCGAGTGGCACCGACTGCTATCCATTCGGCCGACGGGCGTCGTGGCTAGCCGCAGCGTCTTTCGCGGGTAGCGTTTTTCGTTCACATGTGCTAACGATGCTGACGTTTTTAGAAACGAGGTGACATCACCCCAATAACGTCTCCGCTCCCAAAACTCAATTCAGCAGCGACCCCCAAAAATAACAGCATGCAGTTCCAAACGTGCTGCAAAAGCAAAGGCAGAGCCACCAAAGATCTCCAAGCGCGCACCTCGAGGGGGTCTCGGTCCGAACCGTTTGCGGCACGCGACAGCGGAGGAGGAGCAGGGGCATCGCCCTGCATTGGTTGGGCCGCACCCCCACCACCTTGTACCCTATCCGCGTCGCGTTTAGCAATCTGCGTGAGCCTTTGGCGAAAAGCACAACGGCCGGGGGAGGGGGAGATCTCCTTAGAAGATTGCTGTATGATGTTGACTTCTCTTTGGAGGTAAGTTTTCGGCGGGACAAGGGGGACGGAGGACTAGAGGCTAGGACGATACTACATGGATTTGGCCACAATGTCGAATGTTTCCTGGTACTGTAAAGGCTGCGCGTGTGTCCGAGAGCCAAGCCGCTGCCGCAATACATCCATGGGCACAGCGCCAAATATTATTATCGGATGCTACGTCGTTCTTGCTCACCAAGGTCGTACTGGGGAAACCCCCGAAAAAATGCCACTGTTGAAATATTCAAAAGAGATTAACCAAACCTCATCTATACGAGAAGCGCGCACTACACCTGGAAGGCAGAGGTCCATGCCCGATTTCCAACCGTAACCAAAACGTGCAGCAGCTACAGGACGTGCCAACCGTGCGGCGGTCGAAAAAAACACACACACACACACACACACACACGACACCCTGCGGCTGCTGCAGTCGTAGACCAGGCGGCGATTGCTGATTACCTGTGCGCGAGGTTCATAAGCTTGCGGGGCTCCTCCGCCGGCGGCCTCGGCGGCGTGTGCGTGTGCGTGTGCGTGTGCGGGTGACGAGGGTGCGGCGGCTGTCGTGGCTCCTGTAATCGCCGGCCGTGCTTGTAGGACGGGATGACTCTGGCCAGGATGGCGTGAATCGGTTCGAGGTCTGAGCATCCCCCGGCATCGACGTAAACGGCACCTGTCCACGGAAGGAAGAAGTTTGTGGGATGATGATGATCACACCGGGTAGGGCAAAGAGAATAGGGCGTGCCAAAGGGCGTGCCATACGACGGCCGCTGCTGCTCCAACACCACCATGAGGAGCGGGCGGGAAATTTCGGGTTGACTGGCCCAAACCTACTGTTACGCCTGGCCAACCTTGCCAGCCACATACGAAGGAATCGAGGTTTGCTCTGTGCAGTGAGTAATGAAAAAGCACGCTGTGTTTCGTGGTGTGGCTGCGGCCGGCGACCTGCCGTGGACATCATCGGGGTGCGATGTACACTACCCACGAAAAAGTTAAGAAGTTGCTTCGACAAAGTAGTGACGGCAGTGGCACCATGGATCACTTTGCAGGCACAGGATGATTTGTTTGGAGAGACTCGATATTTGTTATGGTTCATCTCGGTGTTGATTGAACAAGCCAAAGAGAAAAAATCGCCGTCGTAACATACACAAGGGTAACTCACCCAAAACAGCCTCGAAGCAATCCGCAAGAATCTTGGTCCCTCCCACCGGTTGACCGTGCCCGATGCGAAGATAAGGTAACTGTCAAAGGCAACATCGGATCCCATACTTAGCGCGCGGGGACTTGTAACATGGTCAAGCGCGAGCAGAAATATTGTTATTGAGGAGGATGGTCAAGCCGTTGAACGGTCAAAAACGATACTGGCGGGATTCCATGCATGCTGGAAGACCAGAAAATACGAGGCGAGAGAGCCGACCTCTGGATACACAGGCAACGCAACAACCCACCGGACCCTTTTTTGGCACATGGTGGCATGCAGTGGAATTGCATACCCGGTCATGGGCCGTGGAGAGGAGACAATGGTTGGTTGTAGATGCACCGCACTGCCGCAGCAATCGCAGCAGCAGCAGCAGCAGCAGCAGCAGCAGCAGCAGCAGCAGCAGCAGCAGTAGCAGTAGCAGTAGCAGTAGCAGTAGCAGCCCAGCTGTGAATAGTTGCTTGCGCGAACATTGACTCCCCAAGAGTTCAGCATGCCAAGGGACGTACTATAAACACTATTTCAATACGCCTACTGAAAAGACTTCAACACATCCCTTTCGACTGAGGTTATATCTCGAACGGGTAGTCTTTCTGTGAGGTTATGTTTACTTTCTAAAAAACACTATGTGCGTCTCTTGCAAAGTACGTGTGTTGTCATATTGTGTGCTTTGTCTGTTGACTGGGCGGCTTCGCGAATGGGGCCATGTAACTTCTCGACACGTCGGTGGACTAACTCACGGCGGCTCAACATCCGCGAAAGGAATGCGATTCACGGCACAGCAGTGCAACGATTATTCTCGCGCGGTCAGCACCGAAGCAGTCGCTATGGTTGAAATTCTGAAATTCTAAAATTTTGGCCTCGACGCCTCGACTTCGTAGCGTACTGAAAGTCATTCCATGCTTTATGCTCGAGGAGTTTCAAATGAGTCGCCTCGACAAACTGCTTTCCATACTCTGGCCTACATCGATGTAACCTATTTAGCATTCGTGCATGATACTGTACCCTGCTGTGTCAACGCTTTGAGACATTTCTCGAGGCCCCGCCTCCGGTGGGGGGTGCTTGTTTGGTGTCTCGTGTACAGCATTACCTTCCCAAAATGAACGTGCTGGCGTCGAATCTATTCTGTGCCCTGCAGGGGGTGTGGGTTGTGGGTGGTATGGACTGACATAGAAACTAACTTTTTTCTCCGATTCACTCTTTGCAAAGAGTGAGCCAAAGCTCATGACCAACAGCAAGTTCTTATTTCCCCACTCACTGCCGTAAACGCTTCAATAAGCCCCTTTCGGTTTAGGTACATTGCACGTTATCTCGAACGGGTACTGTAGTCGGACCGCTGTAGTCTGTCGGGGCTTCTATGCATATTGTTAACTTCTAAAAACCGCAGCAGAAAAAAATGCGATAACCTCCTTGAAGCTGCCCATACAGGTATGCATATGATGCACGTTCCGACTTGCGAACCCTGCCATCTTCTACACCAACACAAGCTTCCGAACAAAGGGAACGGGACGTGTCTACCCTCCTCCCTCTTTCGAACTGCCGCCAGCATAGCAGCACTAGCGGTCACCAAATTCTGGCATTACTTATAGCAGCATGTCATTCTCTCTCACCAGATTCAGCTGTCGAGCAAACGACTCGCAAGCGTGGGAGTCGACGAAGCGCTGCCTAGTTGCGGAGAGTTGTCCTGAGGACCTCCTCGAGCCCTTTGCCGAGCGAAACAGCCAGGAAGAGACCGCCAGCTGGAGGACAGAGTCGCCGAGCCACTCGAGCTCGTCGAAGTCCCCCGACGCTGTGTGGGTCTCGTTGCAGAACGAGCGATGCGTCAAGGCCGTGAGCAGGAGTCGCCTGTCCCCGAAGCAGTAGCCCAGCGCGTGTTCAACTGCAGGGAGCGAGTGCTGCAAAAACGCGGCCTCATCTCTCGTAGCCATTACGCCACCGCAGCGCAAGCGGTGGACGACTCTTCTCGTCTCCCCTAGGTATGTCTTTTGTGTGTCTTCTTCGCTCTCGAAGCAGCCGTGTAGCTTGTCGTGCTGTGCTGCTGCAGGTGTGTAGGTGAAAATGTGGGTGTGCGTGTCGCCTTGCCGCCGTGCATGGTTGCCCATTGCCCATGTTGCTCGTAGCATACTAGTACGTACCGACCAATATCGAAACACGGAGCCCCCGACAGAAGACAGAAACAGCAGCACAGGAAACTCATTCTGCATTGCTCTGCAGTGCTGTCTGTGGTCTGCGGCAGTCCTTTGACGTGCATTCGCACTAAGAACATGCGGATACCTGTTTACCTTCTAGCTGGCCTCGGACTCTCAACATGCGCAACAGGGTGAGTTCGAGTCAAGAATCCAAACGAAACCCATCGACTATCACAAAACGAGCAGTTGCAGACGAGGCGCCGCACTCACTTCAACCATTTTCACGTCACGCACCAGAGAGCAAAGAGGGATAAAGGAGAGCCGTTTCTTTCTCATAGGGCCTGGTCATATGGTCTCCTAGAAGGAGCACTGCTGACCTGGGGGGGTAGTGCACCGAGGCGTGTAATTCGTGGTTTACCCTTCCGTTAACAGGTTGCCCAGGCTGGGTGTCGATGGGCCTATTCGTGACGACCCTGGTGCTGCTGACTCGGCGGAGGGTCTCGTCGCAGCCGCGGCAAGCCGTCTGGGTGCATTGCTGGATCCGCTGGTGGACAATGGTATCCCTCGTGGTGATGTCGAAGAGCTGTTCGTGGAGCAGCGGCTCGACCACTTCGACAGGCAGAATTCGAGGAAATTCCTGCAGCGGTACTTCATCAACAAAAAGTGAGCGAATTGTGAACAGCGGCGCAGTGTTGTGTGTCAGCTTCACGGTCCCTATGTCGGGTACTTCCCGTGTATTGTATTGCATGTTGACTGGGATTGGACGCTTCGCATGTGCGTGCTTTGTGTACCGTGGCTGCCACGACGCTGAACTGGAGAGCTCGTTCCTCTGTGAGGTCTTGAATATAGGTCTCTCATGTCATATTTGACTATTATGTGCCGCAGTAGTAAATTGCGGAAGATACCACACCCCTGGGGCGACTTTCGAAGCTCGACTATTCTGCCGTACCCTTGTTTTCGGGAATGGACATACCACGCCCATCTCACCACATGCCGTACACTCTTTCCGCGAAGTATGCTACGTGTTTATACCACCCGTGCTGCAAGGATAGCAACGGCAGCTGTGCGCCGTTGTCTGTGGTTTCCCCCCCCTCGCGCCGAAGTTTGTGCTACAATATTAATTGAGACCGTTGCCGACCCGCGCAGCTCAGGCAGCCCTACATATCTCCAAATCTCCACACAGCTCCAAACCAACGCATCCTCAACCACAGCCTATTCGCTGTTATGCCGCACACTATGGTAACTAACCCACCTGTCACGTCATCGACTAGCATATACCTATGGAAATACGTAAATGCGGGGTTTCAGTATGACAAACAAGGCTTTCATGACCACGCCCCCGCCCACCGCCCCGAAGGTATTGGGCAGGGGCAAGCTCGGGGGCCCCGGTGTTTCTGTGCGTTGGGGGCGAGGGGCCTCCTCTCGAAGCGAACGTACTGTCGGAGAGCGTGCACTGCAATGACATGCTGGAGCTTGCGCCGGAACACAATGTAAGCTGCGGAACCGTGTTGTGGAACATGCTTCGGCATTAGACTCTTTCTGTTGGTGGCGGTGATGGTGGTGTTCGCGTTGGTATTGTAGTGCTGTTGTTGTTGTTGTTGTTGTTGTTGTTTTTGTCGTTGTTGCTGGTTGTGATGGTATCCTTGTTATTTCGTTTGAGACTGTTGTTTCCAATGCTACGCTCTTCTTGTCGCCGTGGGTGCATGTGTGGTTGCGGCTAAACTGTCGTTGGTGTTGCTGTTGATTTTGATGCCATCTCCTTTTTCCTCTTGTTGTTGTCATCAAAATCAATGTTGTTATTGCTGTTGCTGTTGTTGTTGACCTTGATGCCGTCCTACGCTCTGTTCGGGTTCCCCAATCCGGCCCCTTGATGGTCGCACGGTGCGTTTTCCTTATCCTTGTGCTAGGCTCTCGTCTTGGCGGTGGAACACCGATATTACGGCAAGAGCAACCCTGGAGATGTGAGTCCATCCATTCATCATACTGTACTCAGGGAAGTTGTATAGCTTCCACGCGTGAACGCTGCCAACATTATTATGCTGCTTACGGTATAGATCGGAAGGATCGAGCACTAGCATGATCGGGGGGGGGGGAGGGCGTATGTTTACCACGGCATCATTCCATTTCCATGGCACGGCAGTAGCCGGAAACGGTGATATCACACGCGGCGGCTTCTGTCGCAAGCATTTGACAGCACGATTCCGGTCAATCTGAATTTGTTGCTTCGTCTCCCGTGGGAACACGTGGGCCAGGGTGAAGGCTGACTGTGTGCGTACATGCGATGCTGCTCCGGGTTAAGTTGGGGCGATGCTGCTGCTTCTCTTATTCTTGCGCCCGAAATGTCCCATCAAGCTACGCTGCCATCACTGTGTTCTCGCTGTCTCACCTTGTTTCGGGATGTTGTCGTGTTTCGTCTTCTATGTGTGCACGGAGTCTGGCTTGCCGTCGCTCTAGGAAGTTTTTTTGACCATCATCCCTATCTGAGGCGAATCGCTATTTTTCTCGTTGTTGAAAGTACGCCTGGGTTACGGACGCGTTGTTGATCGGTCGGTTACACCACCCCAACGGAGGCAAACCCGCTGCTTTGTAAAAAACACCGAGTACCATATGCTTTCATCCCCTGTGCGCTCGCCCTTGTTCAGGATTGGGCAACAGACTCGCTGCGCTGGCTTAGCAGCCAACAGGCGCTGGCCGACCTGTCCAGCTTCCACGGGTTCCTTTCCGACAAGGAGGGATTGACCGGAGCCGAGAAATGGGTTACGTGGGGAGGTAGGTTTGCGGGTACTCACGGGACGCCGCTGCCAAACGTACGCGGGTATGTTTTCGTGCTTGAGTACGGGGCCACGACTGAATGTCCCCAATCGTAAAAAGTGTGCGCCTCGAGTCATGTCATGGAGTCTTGAGGCACGCCCTACTCTTTGCCAGTTTTTTTGCGGCTTCAGTTATGTTCTGTACAGATTTGTTCCTCGCAATATTTGCTCGCATGTTTTCTGTTCTGCTCTTCACGTTTCTGTCGTAATTTTGGCCCCAGGGTCCTACCCCGGGATGCTTGCCGGCTGGGCTAGGCTTAAGTATCCTCACTTGTTCCACGCTGCCGTGTCCTCCTCCTCGCCCATGAAGGCACAGCTCGACTTCCCGCAGGTGATCTTGCGTTGTTGTGCTCTATCTCCCTTTCTCTCTCTCTCTGTGTATATATGTCTCGTTGTTATTCTTGGTGACGAGCATGTTCATGGCCTAATTGTGAATTGGTGATCTCGGTCGTTGTGCTCTCTCTCTCTCTCTCTCTCTCTCTCTCTCTCTCTCTCTCTCTCTCTCGTTTCTCGTTGTTATTGTTCTGAGTGACGAAAAGGATGTTCATGGCCTAGTCATTTTCAATTGTATGCGCATGTTTGTTGTCATTGTACTTGTACATGTTTTCGTTGTTCCCGTTTGTTTTACGGTTAGTGTTGGTGGTGGTGGTGGTGGTGGCCGTTGTCGCTACATCAACTCGTTTCTCGAGATGTGGTGCCCATCGCTCTACGCGGCCTTGTCACCCCGTGAGATTGCGGTTTTCCCGCTCCTGTGTGGATTGTACCACCTCCACCGCGGTTCGAGTCGGACTCTACCGCTGTTGTCTTCATGTTGTCGTTTGATGGTTGTTCCAGTACGCCGAGGTGATGCGAGACTCGCTAGCAAGCGGAGTGGACGGCGTTGGGGGCTCCGAGGAGTGCGCGTCAGCTGTGGAAGCAGGTACGTATTTCCTTCTTGTCGTAGAGGTGAAGGTCACTGCGGAGTGAGTGTAGGCTACGCCTAGTGTGACGACTCACGCCCCTGGGTGCTCCCGGTGCACACCGTACAGGCACATGGCATTCTGCGGCGCCCCTTGCTCATGGCATGCTTGGGAAACAGTCTGGGTAGTGCTCGCCCGATCTTGGTCATCTCGTGCGTTCGGTTGGGACTCTGACAACAATCGATGATAATGTCTGGTGCCTAATGGCACGGGCTTAGCTTGCCGTGCTTCTTTTCCCCGTTGTTGAGCCTGCGGAGGAGCATCATCCTCGTGCCTACAGAGACGGATCTCGCCCTTGTTGCTACTTTCGTTATTTGAGCTGTCTGCATCCTATGGCTGGTGCACATGAGGAAAGCGCGGCTCTTCTCTCTCTTGCCTATCTGCCGCGTGCAGGTGCTCTGGTTCGCTAATATTTTCTTCCGTTTCGTTTCTTTGCTCTGCAGGCCATGCGTCGATCGGAGAACTATTGCTGACGGAGGAGGGGCAACTAGAGCTAGTGGCGTGAGTCTGAATTCTGTACGCGCTGCTAACGTGTGATTGCTCGGATGAGGTTGAAAACACGTTTCATTCTTCCTCTGTGGATTTTTTTTTTTTTGGGGGGGGGGGGGTTGTGGAGTATATTCACGAGGTTTGAACACTGTCTTATTCTTCTGTGGATTTTTCGTGTTCGGAGGGGACGGTTAATGGGGCATCTTCCTGTACCCTGCTGGCCCGTTGCTCGCGCTGTCACACATGCCGCATACATGATCACATGGTCACATGATGATGCCGCCCGATGCATGCTGGATTTTTAGAGCTTGCGCACGCGGGGTACATGGGGCGAAAATCCTACAGTACGCAGACGAAACTGTCAAGGCGTCGCTGTGTGCGGGTGCCTACGAAAAAGATGGAGAGCCTACACACTCAGAAAACACAAATATTTCCGGGAAAACCCGGAATGTTTCGCTTGTAGAATAGCTTTGGTCGTAAGTTGTGATGGTTTCAGAGAAAGCTGGTATTGTAGGAGAGTGCCGCACTTTCGGCACTTGTTGTTTCAACGTGACATGACACGAAACCGGCACCGCAACCAACGTTCCGCAGAACGTTCCAGCTTTGCGACGCGTCATCTCTCCAAGACGAGGACGCCAGGGTGCTGTTTGCCGGGGATGGTGTGGTGACGCTGCCCATCCAGGGGAACGACCCTGCCTGCAACGGCATGGTTTGCAACATCAGGGCGGTTTGCGAGATCATGACCGATGCCACCAGAGGCTCGGAGGCAAGTCGACTTTGTTTTACGTGCTGAGAGACCAGTTATCTATTTGTTGTTTGTTGCTATTGTTGTTGTTGTTGTTCATGATGATGATGATGATGATGTTGTCTAGAAACACAATGCAGACCTCGTCCGTGTGTACCTCCGTCGACAGCGGTAGTGACCTACAACAACCGTCCTTCACAGCCTGATGCAATCCGAAAAAGGTGACACAAGTGAATGAACACATGGCCCATAAAAAAGAGTCTTCCACTGCTGTTTATTCGCCCCCTTAGTTGCAAATATCTAATGCTGCTTTTGCTCGGACACATTGACGCACACCCAGGTGGAAAGGCTGGCCGCGATTCGAAAAATCCAGAGATCCTCCGACGCAGAAGCGATAGAGGAGCCACGATCATCACCCTCACCGTGCGAAGTGTTCCCGCCCAAGGACATGAACACCGCTGCTGGCCGCTATGGTGGCCGAAGCAGAGAGCGCGGTGCGGGACTGCGGCGGGATTATCCCGGGCAAGAGATGAAACTGCTGGGGAGGTGGGCGATGGATCCTTCGGACCCCGACAGGGCGTGGCTGTACCAGACGTGCACCGAGTTTGGCTTCTATCAGGCGAGTCTGTTAGTCAGGTCCCCAATACATGTCAAGGGGGCCTAGCGGCCGAAACTAGCTGCTGCTGTTGTGTCTCTTGATTTTGTTCACGGTGATGTGAGATGGAAGTTGTAGGCGTCTTTTCACCAGCGAAACAAGTAAGAAATACACGATTTTTGGCTAGCAGATTGAATGGTGTGACATGCTGGCCGGCACGCTGTGTAGCGCAAAATAGACGGCACGTGTTCGTGGCGTCTCGTTCATAGTACGAAGGGGGGGGGGAAGACTGGAGGGCTTGGCGGGAAGAGCAACCCATGCCCACACCACCAGCAGCATCGCGATCACATTCTGCTTCATGGCCATGTGGTGGGGGAGCAGCACGACCTCTTGCGTGACGCACAATTTTTTTTTCATGTTTTTCCGCCGCTCCTGTCGGCTGCCTGCTTTTCGGCGTCGTCACCCCTTTGCCCTTTCGCCGTTTTCCACCGCTCTCTTTGGTGCAGACTTGCGAGGTCGGAACCCGGTGCCCGTTCACTCAGGGCCTTCACACCCTAGATCTTGATTTGGCCATGTGCGAGGAGGCCTTCGGGATAAGGGCGGAAGAGGTTCGAGAACAGGTTCGGCTCACGAACCTCTTCTACGGAGGGGACCGACCAAGGTACAGTAGTTGCGTCACGGTATAGAAGGCATAATACCCCCCTACCTGGGACCAGCCAACCCCCTTGACAACGATAGAGCCAATCATCTGCAACGGAGATAGTAAGTTTTTAGGACGGAGTTAATTTTTTTCCATGAAATCAATATTTGTACCTAACACAGAAAACAAGGAACAATGTTTTTTTTTAAGCACGCAAGACGTCTGTCTAGCTCTTGATCGTGGAAAATCAAGGTGCTGAGTAATGAATTGTCAACTTATTTATTTTCCCTCATCAAAGTTGGCCCCCGCTTGTTGTTTTTCCGGCATGCTTGTCGTACCCTTGCTGTAGCACCTGGTTCTGTATGGGTATGCAAACCAGTGTGTTCACTCATTTTATTCACAACTTGTTTTTGCTCTTGCGAGACCGCGAAAATCCTTGACAAGGCGGCTGCTGCAGTTCTTGGCTGGCTGAACGGTAGATGCGTCTCTCCTCTTCGTACATCACCTCTTCTGCCCCTTAAGAGCCCGTTGTTTTCGTGCTGTGCTGTCTTTGTGCCGCACCAACCACTTTGCTATACGCAGAGGATCGCGGGTGATCTTCCCCAACGGTGCTATCGACCCGTGGCATGCTCTCGGTGTACTCGAGACTCCCACTCCAGGCTTGCCGGCGATATACGTAGAAGGTGAGCACGTTTTCAAGCTCTAGTACTATGTACAGCGGCAAGGACTTCCGCGAAACCATCCAATTTCGGTGAAAACAAGAAAGCTGTGCGTTTACAAGCTCACTAAATAGTGCCGTTGAATACGCAGCGATATCCAGTAGAGCTTGGAGAGAGGTGTTTCGTCTGGAGACGGACGTGTGGTCACTGATCAACGTGCCATACCCCCATGGCGACAAATATATGCCTCCCCCCGCCCCTCCACTCCGTCTTTTCGAGGACGCGTGGTCAATTGCCTGACCGCTAAGGCATGCACAACATAAGAGTACGCCAACCACCCCCACCGCTCCAATTCGCCGTGATATTTTGTGTTTTTTTCAACCATAGGTGCGTCGCATCACTTCTGGACGCACCCCTCCAAGCCCACCGATTCCCCCGACATCGTCAAAGCTCGCCACGTCATCTGGAACCAGGTCACGGCATGGTTGGGTGAAGATGACTGATATGATGCCATGGCGGGGTTGCATGATGATATTTTAAGGAGTATCCCGGCGACGACGACACGATCGACGAGCTGCAGCAAAGCAAGCCGAACGCAGTCAATACAGACCCAAAGCAAAGCTACACAGAACCGCTGCTGTCTTGCAATCCTTTCTCGCTTTTTTGGCGCGCTGCAGCGCGGGGGCACAACAGTCGGGAAGGAAACTTGTCGCAGGGGGGGGGGAGGGGGGGGGCTGGTACGGAGCTTTGGCAGCTCCGGGAAAAGCTGTGAGGGGAGAAGGGGAGTGCAGCTGTTGCACAGCGAACCGCACGCTATGGCATTTTGTGTGTATCCTCACGAGTGGCATGGGTGACCGTTCCTCTCTGGATTGTATATATCTAGGTGTTTTTTTGGAGTTAACCGCGGGTTACCGTCTCGCCGACAGATGTCTCCTCCAGTGGATGGTTGCGGATTGCGCGATATACGCGCCGCGCCGTGCTCCCGAACCATATCTTCGAGATTATCGGCGGCGCGGTTAAAGAACGGGCGGTCAGATTAGGGCCTCACACTGGTTTGGATCAGCCTTAGCGGCCTTCCACTTTGTAGATAAAGAGGCATGTTTGTCTGGTATGGGTCTTGATCTTGCGGCTATGTAGGAGGGGTGTCGTACTTTTGTACGTAAGCAGACGTACATTGGGTTGGTGAAACTGCCACAGCAGTGGTGTGCCCTCCAATAGGGCGGGGTTGTGCCAGGCCGATTCACCCACCCGATAGCGGGTACCGGCACGACTCCAAGTATCATACAACCTGAACGTTCTACTGCTTTGCCAGACAATTCACTCGCCCAATAGAAGGCATGTTTTTGGGGAAGGTGAAGGAGTGGTGTGGCCTCAAACCCACGGCGAACGTAGTTCTCTCTTCTGCTGCGCCGCGTTTGTGTATCCGACCCGTTGGTGGAGAGCGGTGGATTGTTGCCGAACGATTTTTGGACGCCAGGCCTTTGTGGGCCTCGGGAGTGCGGGCGTTGTATGTCTTTGATGTGTACGTGTTTTCCGGGTTCGCGAACGAACGCCGTTTGCAACGAACGGCCAAAAAATCTTCTTTTCCGACTTTTTGTAGCTCCCGCCCGGCTCGAGAGAAGACCAAGTCAATGTCCCCATGTAGACTTGTGTGGCGTGTTGTGTTTGGAAGGTAGAATATGTTTGAGTGCGAACAGACGCTTTTGTAGCTATCACGTCGTATGGGGGGGGTGTTGTGTTTTGTACGATGTCATTGTTCATGCCCAGGAAGACAGTATCGTCGTGCTCATCAGGTATCTAGGATACGGTTCTTTGCTGGTTAACACGCCATTGGCGCCACTGTTTTTTAAAGAGGGAATTACCCCCTGATTCGCGTCAGCCACGGTCTAGACTACGCGGCTTTTTTACCTCGAAAAGGATGGGGCTTTTCGTGTCCGGTGCTTCGATAGCTTCGACACAGACGAACCACGCGCCGCCGTAGCTTTTGCAGTACTGAATTGTGGGATAACTGTTGGCACCCTTAAAAAACTTAAAACAAGGTTTCACAACCGCTTGGTTGTTGGAGGGCATGCATGTTGTGGGCGAAGGTAGTTGCACAGCTTTGACACGTGATGCCGCTAGGATCACCTCGCCGTGTAGGTACGTGCAATCCTATCCTTTGGTAAGCACGGGTTGCCCTTTATCTGTGCGTCACGCTGTCGCGAAAACTCGATCCACACGTTAGCTAGACTACCAGAAGAAGTAGAGGGCAAAGCAACCGAGAGCTGTCGCCGGGTTGGTGTTTGGCCCGCTTCAACAAACACCGAAGAAATACAGCAGTGCTGTACAAATCTCTTCTACACTGGACAACGTCCCTCGCTAGAGGTACTTCCACTTCTGCGCCAGTATCTCCTTTAGGCTTCCCTCGAACTTGTCGATCCCCTCCCGTTCCTCGGTGGCGTTCTTTCTTCTCTCCTTTTCCTGCCGACACCACACCACAAGAAAGGCAAACAGACGCCACCACAAGCAGCAGCAACAACCCCGCAGCAGAAGAGCGGCCGCCATTAGACCGACAGCATTGGAGTTGGAATCGGGTACTCTCGCCCCGACGTTGTTTCGCGCTGCTCCACTCGGTGGATTTCATGATCTTAGAGTGCTGCAAACATTCTTCGCCAGGCATGGGTTATCCGCACTCTACAAACATGCTGGGAAGCTATCCTACAGTATGTTTGTGAGAGTATGGTTGTTCAGAGGAGGTCAGCACTGTTCGGGGGTATTCGCAAGTAGCGATGTTCTAATGGGCGGAACATTTTTCGGGCTGACTTCTTTGGGCCAAGACTCACATGTATCGACTTTCATATGTATCGACTTTCTTTCATACCGTCAGCAAAGATCGGCGTTTGATTGCCAAATCGGGTGCAAAGGCCGCGTTCAACCCTCCTTGCAACCCCACGCCTGACGACGGAGCCGCCTTAGACTAGCCAACCGATAACGATCGCAAGCACTCCAAACACCAGTCCGTGTTGTCTCGCACTGGTTTACATAGTTTATATCCGCTTCGTCCGCTGATGTGCCTAACCTCGCTAAGCTATGAAACAGGACTGCAATCCTAGATCGACTGCAGTAGATGCTAAGAGTAGTGTAACCTGTGTAAACGGCAAAGAGACGCCAAGCAAAGCAAGAAAGCCATGAAAGGAGACTAAAACTCACGAGTTGTGCAGCCACGACCCGCCCCGCCTCTCTCGACTGGCGAGCCTCCCTCCTGCCCAAGAGGGCGCACGTGTACTCCGAGCGGCGCTGCGTGGTATCAAACTGCTGGGGCTTGAGGCCGGCGGTGGACCGGGATAGAACCTCCCGAGACATCGGGCGGCCTAGCTGGTCGCACGAGGACGAGAAGGGGCGAAGGGCGGGGCCCTGGAAGGAAGAGGAGGTGGTGCCGGGCCGTGTAGCTCGCAGCCCTTGGCGGCTCCACATCGGTCGTACCTGACGACGGCGTATTGCAGAAGGGGGGGGGGGGGGGGCATGTGCTGATCGTTTTGTCTCGCGGAAGGAGCGGCCTCGAGTTGTGGGGAAAAGACATGTGGGCAAGCGGCAGCAACGCGTTCTCGGTTGTATCTAAACGCCGTTCGATCATTGACTACGCACTCATTCTCGAGTCGGGAAGGAGGCTGTACGAGCGTGGGGAGGCGGGCTCGGGGGGGACATACAATAGCTGCGGGTGTGTAGAGTACCACGTGTGTCAACCGGTGGCCATGGGTGCACGAAGGATAGGGCTACACGTTTTGGTGTCGTTTGAACAAGAAAATCCGTCAGGGGCTCGTTGATGGCAATCACCGAGAGGAGGAAGGGTAGGGGGGGGGATCGAGAGCAAATCGTGTGTTGGGGGGGAGGCTCCATCGGAAACATTCCGGCAACGCGTTAGAATCGCAAGCAGACGTTCTTGTGTACGTTAAAGGAAAATGATAAATTAAAAGCAGCAGGCGAAGACAAAAGACACGTGTTTCTGCACTCTACAATTTTCAAGTCGAGTTTTACCTCAATGCCCGAGCCGTCGCGATCGGCCTCCTGCCCTTGGTTGTTGTTGCGCGGCGATCCCTCGTCTGTGAAATCCTCGGTCTCCCAAGACTGACCGAACCTCGACCTTTGCGAAGGTAGCTGAACAACGAAAAGAAGTAGGGGAAGGAAAACGAGAGTGTAGGAGATGAACAACATCTACGTGTTGAAGGTTATCAAGGGGTGCTTGACAAACTACAACGGGGGACGCTGGTGTTTGTAATACTCCGTCCGTTTCTTACAATCCGGAGCTTAGACCTTCCAACAAATTACTAAAACCGAATTGATGTGTCTGCCAAGGGTTTTGGTGGACGGGGAATGGGGTCAAGGTTCGGGAAAGGAGATTGGACTTGTCATCTCTCAGGCTTATCGTGACGCATTTTTCTGTCAGCGACGAAATGGAACGAATAAATCTTTGATGCCTTCATCTTGTTGTCAGCAACGACCACGCACCACGACTTATGAAACCTTTTCGTTCTATCCACGAGAGCTCATCTTAGCGTTGATTCCACACCTACGAGTGTTCCCTAGCCCCCCCTCTTGACTACAAAAGGTGCCAGTGGAAGCAAACACCCGCAACTCAGCTCTCCAACGAACGTTTTCCAGAATAAGACCACCCAGAGGTCTTGAAAGGAGCCATCAACACCTGGAACGTGCCACTAGAACATGTCCCAACCAATTCTCATGCATGACGTTGTCCGCCCAACACGGTGGCGAAACTTTCGCTACCCAAGCGAAGAAGAAACCGTGCAGCCTCCTCTCACCGGACAAGAGCGGCTGGGTCTTGTGGCGCTCCCGCCGCATCTGCTGGTCCCTCGCAGGCAAGCCTTCACCGTGCCCAAGGAACCCCCGGTGCCCTCCCCCCACTCCATGCTGACCCTCGAGCTCTCCCTGCCCCCCCACGTCAGGCAAGGGGTGGGCGACAGGGCTCGAACGTGCCCGGGCGAGTAGCCCACGGTTCGCGGGCGAACGGAGTCCAGTCGGGTGTCGTAGAAATCCGGGGGGTCGATTTCAGGGGAAACTCGCCTTGTTGTATATGGCGTGTGAGTCGGTGAAGAATTCAGAACGGGTGGGGGGGGGGGTTGGGAGTGGGGCAGGAGTTGTGCGAGGGTTTACACTGTTCTCCTTGAAGGGGGGCGGAATAGTAGGTAGGGTGCACTGCTTTCCTTGGAGACAAAACTTTCAGATATCGAAAGGAGCCTGTTATGCTGAGATCATGATAGGTTTGTCACGCGGGATGAACGGGGATAACTACAGCTTAACAGCCGTAGAAGGTGGCATCGGCCGGCGACGAACACCTTGTGATGCACGCTGGGAGGTACAAGGATAACTTGGAAGGGGTCATCTGTGACTACGTTGCTGTTCCTTTTGTGTGCCGAAAGCATTCCATTGCATCCCTGCCCGAACCTGTGCGCAGGCGATACGTAGGCTTGGGAACTTGCACTACGCAATTGCGAACTCCTCCCCGAACACCGTACTTACGACCATCGATCCTCCGCCGCTCAACGCTCTCTTCACTTGCATTTCGACAAGGGCACCACCCCAGAAGCTGTTCATGACGAGATTTGGCAGTTTCGCTTTCTTCGTTGTCGAGCACTTGCTACGCCGTACATCGACGTGCTCGGAGCGAACGCTTGAACGTAATACTTCAGAGTTTCGGCTATGCTATGATAGCACGCAAATTGAAATCATAGCCCGATAGTCCTTCTAAGACCGCGACCGTTGTTCTCACGAGTAGGAGAAGCCTGACTTGGGCGGGCAGGACTCATCCCTGATAGGGTGGATCTTGTCGAGGAAGCGCTTCACGGCGTGCATCTCTTCTGCGTAGTCCAGCAGCCCGCCTTCTTCCCGCTTCCTCCGGAAAACAACTGGATTCTTGTCTCACACAACAGCAACAACAACGCAATTAGAACAGATGTATAGCTTCTTAGCGTTCAAACAGGACAGCAGGACCTCGTGCAAACGTCGCGCGGGTCCAGTCGTGGATTCTCATCACACCAGGAACCCGAGGCACTGCTGCTGTAGGATAACACCGCCGTGGGCCCTCGTGCTACATACGCACACAGCCAACGATTTGGTGGCCGACAAAACCGGAACTGACTCCCCAACGCATTCCCTAGCTGGAAAAAAATCGTTGAATGCCCATTGCCCTTCGAATTCCTTCGTCTAATACCGAAAGGATCATGTTTGGTGAAGGCCAAAACATCTAGGGCTCCACACAAAACGCAGCAGAGCCCCATCATCCCGCGCCTACTCCAGCTACACCCTTTATTCGTGCACCTTATCAGAGAATGTTCGCGCCAACAACCAGACTTACCGTGGAAATTGTCGCCTTATGGGACAATACCCGTTGCGCTCGTTCAACCTCCTCCTCAACCACCCACGGGCTCACGTTCAGCCCTCCCAGCACTCCAGGCTTCTTAAACGTCCCTGGTTCAATGTTCGGCACCCCTCGAGGCCCCCTCACCGAGCGCCTCGGTTTGGTTCTGACTTTCGAAGGCTCCATCATCGTGGGCGTGTGTCCACGGAGGCAGGCGGGTTTGTCTGGGGGGTAGTCGACCGTTTGAGGTGGCAGGTTGTTCCTCTGGGCTCGAGCGAGACTTTTGGCCGAAACAAGCTTCTTCGCACGACGATCGATGATGGGGACCTATTTTGTCGAAATTTGGGTGGTGAAGGGACAAGGTGAGGAGATTCTTTGGGTAAGGCGTCGAAAGCAAGTGCTGACCACTCACGGCATGTACGGCTGACACCGCACAAATCATTTTGTCGTGGTATGTTTGCGTGGTCCGTTTGTTTGGATCTTCGGTACGAATCATGCAGTCAATCGATAGTTCAGCGAGCGCATGTTTCTTTATGCGGGTGTGAAAGGTTCCGTAGGTTCTCGCCAACACAACAGGACTGCACCTTGCAACGTCAATGCTCGCTGTTAAGTGAACGTGCGCCAAGCAGCGCGCAACCCACGCACGTGGAAACATGGGGCGGATGTTTGCGGCGCAACTACTTGCTGCGCAGGTACATCTGCTGTGGATGGTTCAGCAGACGGTATTCGGAGCAGGGGCCGCATGCCTGATGATGCGAAATAGATTACGCAAGCTTGCGAATCGAAGGATGGTGTGCTTACCCCGCTTGTCAATAGAAATGTCGGCATCCCTGAGCTGATGGCGCTGGCCAGAATAGTCTGGTTCAACGCGGTAGGTTCTGCATCGCCGCCGGCGTGGTCGGATTGGCTCGTGCGTGTATTCGAAGAGTTCTTGGCGCTGCTGACACCGCTGTCTAGTCTAGACGATACCATGGTCGGGAAGGGCACCGTCACGGTTGGTACCGTCGCTAGGACCTTTGACCGTGCATGCAGAACGAAGGAAAGTCTGCTGCTGCTCAGCGTCTGTTTGCTACTTTTGTTCCGTGTAGATTTCGCGATTGTACATGTTTTTAGCGTCGAGCGTTTCGTGTTTATCGAAACGCCGCCTGGAACTCCCCCCCCAAAATGCGGGACAACCGGGCTGCCTCACTATTTCCTAGTCAAAAGACGTTAGACAGCTTTACTCCACCTCATGTGGTAGCAGGTGTATCAATTTTATCTCTCGGGAGTGAAGATATTTGCTTTTCTGCACAAATATTGTAGAATGGATTATGCCCAACCGCACTCGCGTTCAAATTCGATGGCAAGCACCAAAGGGTCCGTACGGCGAAGAAGGTGGGACAAATAAGCTGTTTTGCTTTCTGTGTCACCTCGGCTGATACGTCAAACCAAACACATATTTATTGTGACCGAAAGGAAAATGCTGGCGCCAGAATAGATGCAACGAAAACGCACACACTGTGGGGTTTAAGGTTGTGTGTCTAAGCAACGGCGTTGTTGTTCGCAACACGGTGAAATGTTCCAAAAATGTTCGTAGTGATTTTACCGAGAAACTTACCGCCCGCCCTCTGGTGGGGGTCCGGGTAAAACGGCGTTTTTATTTTTACATTACAGTTGTACCGCCTTCGCCAAAACTGTTACAGCCGACAACCGCAAAAATCCATCTATATGCCGCCCATGCTCCACGTTGAAATGTCAGAACCAACAGAAAAATCGCTCAAGGGAATACACACGGACACACGCTTCAGCTCAATTTCCGGAGCCGTTGTTTGTTCACCGATCGAATTCTATTCGCACCTCTGAGTTGCTAGGTGGGCAGGAGAAACTTTAACAATCGCCTTTCACATGGCCCCCTTTTGTGGCACCCTTGAACTGTTAGATGTACAGCATAACCACTAGTATGCTATCAAGTCAGTGTACATATTTACACAAAAACCATGGCCAATGCCATCAATTTCTAACGTTGTACCACCCCCTCTAACTGCTCTATTATAACTTTCCTGTGTCCTGTCGTGGCCTATTCCTCATTGTTCAGTGGGCGGCTCAAATGAACACAAAAACGCGCGCGTATCGCCTTTATGGCTTGCCACGAACGGTGCCTGTACTGACCGAGAGGAAAGTACTCGACAAACGTGTGCTATTAATTGCTCCTTTCCGATATCTTGCCCCCGTATTAGTACCCCCGTGACCAAACATCAACGCGGCTCCCGACAAGTGGGAGTTGAGCTCTCTGCCGCTAACTTCACCCTGTCGCTCTTTTGCGACGAGAGTAAATCATCCTCGAAAGGAAGGAACTGCACCCTGTCGCTCTTTTGCGACGAGAGTAAATCATCCTCGAAAGGAAGGAAGGTCGTCGCCCTACGCTTCAGGACCCTGGGCGTGTACCCTTATCGCGTCCTCGATCTCCACCTGAAAAATCTTCACAAAATCAGAAACGCCCAGATCTTCTTCGCCCAGCAGCGCGGGGGCGTCGACCCATTTCCATATCTCAGGCTCTGATGTGCGGCGTGGTGTCAAGTTGTAATCGGAAGCATGAAAGGGGCCAAAGAGTAGGGCAGGGCAGGTCAGGTCAAACGGATCGAGAAGTCGTAGGCCGATTGTTGGTTCAATGAAAATTTTCGGTGTCATTCGAATGACGAGAGCCTTTGTCCTTAGCCAACTTGGACACACGAGTCCGTTGCGCGTTCCGTTTGGAACGGCCAGCGAGCCCCTTGTGGGCGACAGGGATAAAGCACACGGTTGCCTGCCCACAAAACTACAGGCGTGAATTCGACCATCCTCAGGAACTTTCCGACAGCCGTTGGCAAGTCGGGATTAACCGCTGGTAGATATGCGATATCTACCGCCTGTTGGCATGGGCATGCCGAGCCTCGCTGAGTCCCCCCTCGACGCAACACCCTCGACGCAACATCTTCTTGACCCCTATCTTGGCCTAAGCCTCACCGGGGCTACCCGCCGTCGGTAGCGGGCTAGAGCTACCGCGACATTGGGACCCCTTCAACCGCTGCGTCTACAAAAGGAGCCTACGTCACCATGGAGGCGTAACGGTTGGGTTGAAACCGCTCGTTTTGATATTTTTCATGTTCAGCATGATTCTCGATGATCGCACGGCACAAGAGAATTTACGTCGAACGAGGACGATAAACCATTGACACATTAGGAAAAGAGGAGTCTACAGCGTGTTTCATAGCATCCCACGGCGTCACATGCACCCGCGAGAACGTCACATCCAAAAATCATTAACCGACCATGTGCACCGTCTGTCAGACGAACCTGCGATATAGACCACACTTTTATCAAGGTGCGCTGTCGCACTAAAAGTAGGAGTGAATACAACCGTACTTCAAGACCCGTCTTCGATCTCACCGGGCCAAGTCATCCACCACCGTACGCTCCGACTGGTGTCGCCATTGGAACGATTCTCCGCGCTCGAGCCAGCCCCAACTTCCTGCGGCGCCGTGTGAAAAATGGAAGGTACGAACATGGGGCAGCGAGAGCGGGAAAGACGGATCCACGATGAGAGAGTACGGTGACGGGGTGGCAGATTCCGCTCCGATGGTAAGCTAGGCGCATCTCACTTCAACTCCCGTACGTGCCAGGCGGCGGGGGGGAACGGGGTTTACTCATAATCGTGCATGCCGTAGTCGTTAGACGTATCCCTACAAAGCCGGGACGGAGCACGCCGGGTTCTCACCGGACCAGGCTTTCACATCACCCAGCGCGAAGCGCCGTGAGGTACTTAGGGGGGGGGGGGGCGTACTCATGCATTGCATGCCTGGCGGCTAGACCATTTACCATGTCAAATTGGCCGTTCCGGGTGGGGGGGAAGTCTAGCCGTCAAAAGGTAAAACCCATGCGTGCTGCATGCGATGAATGTGCTTTTTCGAACCAACCGTGCCGGATGTAAGACGCAGTTCCATAATCCAAGATGCAAGCTTCTGTAAAAATTCTCGAGCAAATTTTGAATTCAACAAGCTTCCTGAAACCACAGATAGAGAAACAAACTAGGCCGCATGCTGCATGCTAACGTTAACCTTCATAACTCCGTGCCCCCCTCCTGTTGGGGGCAGCGAAAGGAAGCGATTCCATTGGCCAGGAGCTAGTCAACGTGGTCTATGCGATGTTGAACAATTAACACAAAACACGCACGCAGGAAAACACGCACCTTGAACAAAATCAGTTCGCAATTTGGACCTGCAACTCCTTGCAGGCGCAGCATTTCTGGCTCGGGCCAAGGATATGACGTGATGACTCTCGAAGATCCCATCTTCAATTGGCAACTAACTGCCATTGGCGGAAACCAACCCAAACACAAGATTGGCGGCAGCAGAGTCGGAGACAAAGATAATCAGAAAATCTGGTATTACATGGCGTTATCGATGCCCCCTGCGCGCAGAGGTAGTCACAAATCAGGGCACTGCTGTGGTAGATGGCGTTATCGATGACCCCTACGCGCAGAGGAAATCACATATCAGGGCACTGCTGTGGTAGATGGCGTTGTCGATGACGATGACCTCTGCGCGCCGAATAATGGGGAGGCAGTATCTGGTGTGCAATGTAAGCTTTAGGTCAAACCTCACCGACACGGTAGCAGCAGCAAAGAGGGGGTCAGAACGATGGGTGTTGCGAAGGGATGACGAGGTAAAGCAGGCACAGACGGGCCCTGTGCGAGGAATTCGAGGCTTCTAACGTGCACGCAACGCACGGCAAGCTTACGACCGACTCTCAGACCGCGATCGAGCCCATATACAGTTCCTTTTTCTGTCTGTGTTTTCCATGCACCCTACACGTCGAGACGTTGCGCCAAATGAAAGAAGTACAAAGACAAGAGCACTCACCTTCATCAAAGCTTCCCCGCCAGATCCTGGCACACTCCCCGCTCCCTCCTTCCGCGGCCACAACAAACACGCCTCCGCCATAGCCAGGGGACGCGTAGACCCTCGTCCCCGGTTGCCTTGCGACCGCACCAGCCTCTCCGACGTCGTCCGAAGAGGACGAGAGGGGACATCGGCAAGTGACGCTTCGATCTCGAAGGGACCGAATCGAAAGGACTGGGCCGTCGCCACTAGATTGTGAGTTCGACCCCAAAACTACGAGGAGATGTACATCGGTCAGGTCTTCCGGGGCCTCCGGGAGGCTTTTGGACAGGGAGGTCGCCGTGGACGCTCCTGCTTGGGTGGCGAAACAATGGGGGGCGGGGGGATCTTTGAACTCTCAAAGGTAAGTTGGCAAGGGATCACCACGGCAGCGCGCCGGAGGTATTGCTGTACTTGCAGCAAGACATACAAGCTTTTTTTGTCTGTGGGAAAGAAAAAATTGCTTCTGTAAAATGGCCAAGCCAAGCGTATGAAGCCGCAGCAGATCGATGGACAACTCTACATTAAATACCACCACAGCCATATTGCTCGGAGGTACACCTCGCATACTTATCGGTTGTACAGCTGCCCATCCACCGGAGGCTGACCCTGTTTTCTCACCTCCGAGAAGGACCCCATGCACTATCGGGTACTCCGCGTACGCTCTCCACCCCCCGGCGCCAAGAGCATTTCCACACGGTGTCCCGTGGCCTTTTCGCCCGGCCTTCTCTCGAGCAGGGCGCGTGTACACGAGGACGGTTTCACGCGTGAAGAGAGCCAAGCGCTGCCATCTGACGTCAGCGCAGAACACCCCCCCTTCGTCGTCGTCACCCCCCCCGTAATCGCCAGCCAACTCGCCGGGCAGAAACGACAACCTTCGGTCGTTTTCGCCTGTCCTTTGCCCGACGCACTCCCCATCGTCGGGGGTTTCGACGCCCGAAGAGGCGTCCCGCCAAGTGATGGCGAGGTCCAGCCCACCGTCTGGAGGGGCTGCAGCATCAGCACTGCCTGGCCCGCTATGTCGTCGGACGCAGGCCGCGATCAGGCCGTGATCATTGTCGACAAGGGTAACGTTTCTTGTAGGCCGCGGCGGCGTTGACGCCTCTGCGTCTGCCGACGCACCCGGGGACGCTTCGTCCGGGTGCCCAGATAACGCTTCTACTTCGATCTTAGGAGTCGGCGGCGGCAAGACGCAGGTGTCGCTGAGCATCGCGGCGATAGAAACGACATGTAGACACAGGTCGGAGTCGTACAGAGCCACAAAACCGGGCCCCGCCGCCAGCCCATGGATCAAGTATCGCTCCGCGGTGGGCTCCTGCGTCACTCCATCCCGGCGGGACGCGGACACCGCCCCGCCTATCCTCCCACCCAGGCCCCGTTCCGCCAACACTTCGATCCCCGGCCCCATTGCCGGAGGGTAGGCTTCGCGGGGCGGCTCGGGCAGTGGGAACTCCTTCGCGGCGTTTCGAGGGGCGGGGAGCGTTGTCTCGCTGCCACGTTCGTCTTCGTCGGGATCTCCGCAAGGTCGTTTCGCGTAGTCGCCGGTCGTGGTGCAGTAGGTCGAAACGGCGACGTTGGTCGTAGAGGCATCGGAGGCCTTGCACCAGCACAAGAACGTCCCGTCCTGGTCCTCCAAGTTCTCTCGCCCCTTGCCACCACCTACCTTGCCGGGAGCTGCTGCCTCGCGCCATACTTGCTTCCACGCGCGCTTGCTGCCGACACCCTCGCCAGTGTCATTGTCGCCGCCGCCGCCGCTGCCGCCTGCAGTTACTGTACTAGTAGGAGCGCCTGCAGTTGCTGCATTAGTAGAAGCTTCGCAAAGACTTGCGTTTGGGGGAAGGACGGCGGCTTGAGCTGGAGCGGCTGGAAGGAAGAGCGCCATCTTTCCGTCCCAGCAAGCCAGTGCGAAGGTGGCGCTGTCGTTCGGAGAGAACGAAAGCGAGGTCACCCGCGCCATGGGTAGCTATAGAGGCCGGCGAGGAAAGGGCGGGATATGGAAATTACCGGTGTCAGCATCAGAAAGGTTAGGGATGGGGCCATGCTGGAGCGTTTGTCGTTACCACATATGCTGGCTGCGACATCAGGAGCTTGACAGACTCAAAGGTGCTCACGCGAATGTTGACCCCCACTGCATAGGAAGTTACATCGAACTGAGTTTTAGTTGCAAGAGCAGCGTGACGACTACAACATCCATACACCAACCAACTTCCACAACACTACGACATACAAGAGAGTGCCCAGGAGCAAAAGATCCTGCTAACGCCAACCATAATCACATCTCACCGCTACACTCCACAGAGCAGCTAAGTTCGAGTGACCCTCCTGTCCCGGTGACGGCCGCATCGCGTGCAGCGCCTCATCAAACCCTCTCCCCTTGCCGCCCCCCCTGCGCGCAGCAGCCGGCTCCTTCTTCGTTGGGACATTCCTCCGTTGCGGGGGCGGCGGCGGTGGAGTAGGGGCCGCCACCAAGGCAGCAACGTCCCATACCTTAACGTGCCCGGTCATGGCCGCCGCGGCCACGAGAGAAGAGTCCGGAGAGAACGCCAGCGCTACGACCAGGTAACCTTGGAAGATGGTCGTGAGCGGTCGGCAGGTCGCCGATAGTTTCTCCGCGCTTGCATCAGCTTCATGACCTTCACCCAGTCCATGCTTCCCTTCTTCTGTGCCAACCTCCTCTTCCTTTGGTTGGCTCGTTATGTCTAACGCGCGGCACTCGATGCCAAAGGAGACGCCGACTGCGATCAAGTAGGTCCCCCGCCAGCTGCTGCTGCTGCTGCTGCTGCTGCTGCTGCTGCTGTTTGCCGCTGCAGCTGCCGATGATGCCACCGCAGGGTGCGAGTCCAGCAAGCTGCAGCACGCGACTGCCTTGCCTTCGGCACCATTGCTGCCCGTGTGCACCTCCGCCAGCCCAAGCGACGGCGGCACACCGCTGCTTGGCGGTCTTGGCGTACAGTTCTCTGCCGCGTGCTTGCTGCTGCTGTCCCCAACGAGCTTATCCGGACGTCGAGGCGACAAGAGCGGTGCTCGTGGTGAGACCGCTGCTTTAGGATCTCGCCAATACGCCGTATAGCCAGACCGACGCAATACTACTACAAGGGCGCCATCGTGCGACCATGCGTGGTCTACGGGGACGTCTTTGCCTGCTGGAAAGGCGCCCGACTGCTCGCTGAGGCGAACTGGAGCGGCTGCAACAACAACCACCTCCTCCTCCGCAGCGGTGGATGCGGCGGAACCTCGCGTTGTTCCTGCTGCAGCGTCCGACACGAGATAAGGTCGGAGAAGGCCTCGCTCGGTGAGCAGGCTGAAGCCTCCTGGGAAGGTACACAGGCAGGAGGACAGAGACGAGCTCGCAGGGTCACCCACGACGAGCCGACTCATCGGAGCACCCACCTGCCGCCCTGGCAACAACTGCTGCTGCTGCTGTGTGCTACTTGTACCCAACTTCTCCACCCCCCTCTCTCTCCCCGCCCCCCTAAACCATAACGCGTGGTTTTGCTCAACCGTTCGTGCAGGAAGCTTCCACTGTGCGGTCTACGGTGAGTTTTTGAGAGTGTACTGCTGTGGTGCACACCAACACGATGCTGACCGCCTTGCTTGCCGCTACGGTAGTGCTGGCCGCTTCTTCTCCCGCGGAGGCCTTCCTGCCACCAAGATGCCCACGCCTTCCGGCAAATCATGCAGGAACAAGGTCAGCTACTGGGAAACATGAGACATGACACACGCTGGCGCGGGGGTTATAGGACGTTGTGGAGTGCCGGCCACGGTCTATTGTAACGTAGGTCTAACATTTACGGTAGAGAGATCCAAGTCTTCTTATTAACGTCCGGCTCAAGATGTTTAGGTACTGGTCCAGTCGATTGCCTGTTTTACGCCTTCCCGGCGTTTTTACATGCAGTGTTCTAAAAGCGTGGGTTGCTCGCTGGAAGTCTATCTCCAGCCGGCTGTAGGACCAACTTTGAATTTAAGTCGTAAACCACAAGGACCATCGATGCTCATCGTGTACGTGACGCCAACTCTCCGTGTTTTGAATGGACCACCCTACGCTGACCCCAGTGCTTGGGCCATGCTTACATGACGTCAATCCTCTCCAATACGGCTTATGGGTACTTTGCACCGCGTGCTGCAACCCGTGGAACCAGCAAGAGAGGTGTTCCATCGCGCAGCGTTTTGAGGCGTGTGAAGTAATCAACCTGTCCAACCCGCCACGATGGCATACTCTTCGAACACTTACCAGTGGAGTAGTTCTTTCTTCGCCTACGCTTCACTCGCTCAACATTACATGATTTCACTAACAATCTCTGGAGACGTGACTTCTAGTCTATGTACTGCGGTTCACGGTCCTTATCAACACGTACATTGCATAAGACAAACCAACCCAGATGCCCGCCTTCAACTGCTTTCACTCCACCCCTTGAAAACTACTCCATCAATGCGACAGAGCTCCTAAGGCCGGCCAGGCGCCGTGCTCTATGTCGATGTCCACGGGGCCGTCCCCTCTCCTAGAGGCAGCGGAGGCGGTACGATCCGGGCGCGTCTCCTCGGAGGAGCTGGTAACCCAGGCTTTGAAAAGGCTGGAGGAGGTCGAGGGAGACGTGGGTGCCTTTCTGAGCGTGCAGGGCCGCGCGGCAGTGGACACGGCTAGGTCAATAGACCGGAAGGTAGGTGTTGGGTACATCCTCTGTGGATGCGCTGGCCGCGGAGTGTTGGAGTATGCGGGTGCTCGCTCCCTCCAAAGCACATCCGCACCGCAACCACAGAAGCTCTCGCTTAGAATCTCGCATCGTCATGTTCACTCGCTTGCACAACAACACCGCACCACATCGCAGCAGCTCAGCTTGGAAGCTTGGCTTCTCCTAGCACTCACAACTTCTTCCGTGTCCTTGGGTGGTGCGCGTCCTTTCGGTGTAAAGTGGAGGGCTCTCCTGGCGTGCCCACTTTCGTGGCGGAAAACTCTTCAAAATCAAATCAGCCCTGGCCCACTCGGAACTCGTTCGATTCTAATCTTCATAAACTTCCACATCCCCCGTCGAAACCGATGGCGTTAGGTAGCCGAAGGGTGCAAAGAGACGCTGGCGCTCCCGCTGCTCGGTGTGCCCATGGGCGTGAAGGACAACCTGTGCACCGCTGGAGTTCCAACGACGGCGGCGAGTCGGATACTGGAGGGATACCGACCTTCGTACGACGCCTCTGCCGTGTCCAAGCTCAAGCTAGCGGGCGGGATCGCGGTGAGACATGCGGAAACAAGTGTGAAAAGAGGGAGTCGTTCTCGACAGACGTTGGGAGATTGTAACTTTTTTGAAGGCGATCTCCGCACAGGTTGTATGTTCCCGTTGTTTGTTTGTTTTTGTCGACGTTCATATATCCTTCCCGGCTGCTGAGCGTTGAGCCCCATAGTTCCTTGCGACAATGGCCTTCTATCAATGGCCATCACCGCCGCTGTCAGACTATTTAACCTCGCTTCAATGTGTACCCAGTGAGTTGCTGATATCGGTACAATACTACATACCTACTGCTTTCGTTCGTACCCGTGGATGTCACTGTAGCTTGGCAAGACGAACATGGACGAGTACGGCATGGGATCGACGACGGAGACGTCGGCCTTCCAGGTCACGAGAAACCCGAGGAACATCGACCACGCGCCCGGGGGCTCGTCAGGTGCGTCGTTGTGGAGACACAAACGGCTTGGTCTCGCTGACAGCACCTGTTTGCTGCCATGTGGCACTACCGTCGCCGTTAACGCTGTTGCTGTATTTTTGTTTTCATTTTGTGCGCAAACTTGCGCCCTCGGCTGTCCTCTCTTCCGCTCAAGCCCGTCCTGCACGGAAAAAGCAGATGCAGCAACGTCACGGCTGTGCGGTCTACTAGCACGCATCAGTGTCGCACCAAGCATCGGTTCACTGCCTCAAAATTGTGTTTACCGTCGTCCCTTGTCCCGACCGGCAGGGGGCTCCGCGGCGGCAGTAGCGGCGGGTGTTGTCACGGGGGCCCTTGGTACGGACACCGGGGGCTCCGTGCGACAGCCGGCTTCCTGGTGCGGCGTCGTTGGGCTCAAACCTACATACGGACGGTGAGTGGGGATTGTTTGTTTTACTCGTCACCATGATTCCACAGCAGTGCTGGGCGCGACAGTAGACAGTAACGGTGGCAACAACGCTGGTTGGTGGGCCTCGTCGGGCTCAAGCAAGTGTCTGCGGGGTGACCCACACAACGGTCTATTGTTTTTCCTCCTCAGCATGCTTTCCCCCGTGTTGGTTGCGACAGCAATACAGCAGCAACCGATCAAAAGCTGTGTCACACCTAAAGAATGTCATGTTCAACCCACAGCGGTTTCCAAAGGGCGGGTGGATTTGGCTGGATATCAGGCAATGTACAGGGAGCTACTGTACACATGAAATTGCCGCGTTGCCGTCCATTGTTTTTCTCATGCTGGCAGTCTCAGCAGGAAGGGGTTGATTGCGTATGCGTCTTCGACGGACTGCATCGGCCCCATTGCGTCGTCGGTAGCCGATTGTGCCGCTCTGTTGGGTGCGGTAGCTGGGGAGGACAGGGCGGGAGACTCGACTGCCCTCCAACAACCTGTGCCGGACTACACCGCACTGCTCAAGGAGGTATGTTCACTTTTTCCCTCTTGGATGGTCGACATTTGTTGCTGCTGTTTGTTGTTGGTGTTTTTGTTGCATGGCTGCGCCGCCGCTTCACCTTGCCCTGCTTGTGCGGTGGAACTTTCGTGTCGGGCCTGCTAGGTGGCAACAACTCGTTATGTTCGCTCCAAGCAGGAAAACATCTAATCGAATATGTACTCTATCTCAGTTTTTGTTGGTTTGTACTTTCTGAAAGACGACAGCAGTCCACCCAATCTCGTTCCGTGTATCCGACGTTCGATCGATATCCTTCTGTGCGAAAACACGTGACCGAATCGTGATGTTTTGCTCGACAACGCGAATTTTCCTCTGTTTTTCGATCCGCCATCTGTATTTGTTGCGATCTGTCAGTCCGCGGCGTCTGGAGGCTCACGGCCATTGGAAGGGATCAAGGTGTGTTTTAATGATATCGGCTTCCGGAGGGGAAACATGTTGCTGCTGTTACCGTGCAACCACAATCACGCATGCACGGCCGTATCTGCAGGGTCGCCTCGGGCGTTCAGTGACCCGATTAGTTCATGTTGCACCCCTTCCGGGGATTACCGTGTTGGTAAACCGGTCAGTGGAACGGGGTCTATTTAACCGTTTGCACGCTGTTCGGAGAAGGTTGCACATGCGGGGCGGACCCGTTCTTGCTGTTAGACGATGCCTAGAAAGCACAAGATGAGGTTTGGGGTACGGTACGGTTATGTTGGATAATGTGTGTATGAAATGCAGGTCCTTAGTTTTGGTCTGGTTCCATGCCTCTACCGCTGCCATACTTGCATACGGAGGTCGCCGCAAGTAGTTTTCGAGAGTCTGGGATCATGCCTCATCAAGTCTATTGTTTTATCACCATCCCTCATGTACTACTTCTGTAACTTATTTTACTTTTGTTGGGTGGCGTGCAGATGGGGGTGATTCGGGAGGCGCTAGTGGAGCGAGTCCAGCCGGACGTTGCCGCAGCTGTGAAGGAGGCCATCGACGTAAGCCCTTTAAAGAATGATTGCGCTTTTTTTTTTTTGTCATTGTTTTCGATTTTGTGAAGTGCTTGTATTCAGCAGAGGTTGTTCTGGATATCGCAAATATCTCGAGCCAAGTGGTGCATACCAGGTAGCAATGATGCCAAATGGGAAGAAGCTCAAACGGATCGACTCGTGTGTACCAGAAATCAGGCAGAGAGGTTTCTGGGTCTTGACCAAAATCTTTGAGCGTGAATATGTTGCCTGTGTTCCCGCAAAGCTTTGCCTAGCGACGATCCACGTCTCATGGCTTTACGCGGCTATCGCTATGTGCAGGAACCTTGCGTGCGTCTTGAAAGTGTTCGTAGTGTCTTCGTTGCTCCGTCCACCCCACGCTGTGAGTGTCCCATGATAGATCGATGTGCAGTACGACACACCGCGATTGATTGTGTAACGCCTTTGCACCTTTGGACAATGGCGCGAACCTAAAATGCCGATGACACTCACGCTTGAAGTTTCACTAGCGAAGAGCTTTGCGTTTGTTTATGCTGGCCCTCCTGGTTGTTGATTGTCTCTGCGCGCATGGCTCAAGTGGCTTCGAAGCCAGCGTGCGTTGGGGTGCGTCCGCTGTACGGCGAAGCCGATGAGTGGAAAGTGATGAACAGAGGAATGTGGCTGGTTCAGTCGTATCAGTCATGTTAATCCCCTCCTCAGTTCTCTCCTCGATGCCTCCCCACTTGCCGATACGCTAACCCTTTCCCCCTATCTTTCTCCCTCCTCTCTCTCTCCTCCCCCCTCCATTCCTCTCTTTTCTGTGCGCACTCTCTTTTCTTTTTCCAACCTCCTTGTGGTTACGATGATGATGTTATGTTGATGATCTGTCAGACGATGGCGTCCCTCGGGGCAGAGGTGACCGAGGTTTCCCTCCCGTCCCTCCCGGAGCAATGCGCCGCGTACTACGTCACCGCCCTGTCGGAGGCGTCGGCAAACCTTGCCAGATTCGACGGTATACGATACGGGTGAGGGGAAAACCCTTTTTATAAACCATACCAGGAAAAGAAGACATATATTGGTTGTGCCACGGTGTTTGTTTCGCGTTTCCGTGGAATGTAACTATGTTTCTTGAGTTTAGAAGTAAGCCACTTTTGTTTTGTCCCACAGATTGAAACCAAGGCCGGGCCGCACGGTCCGGATTTTTTTTTAAAGCGATGACAGGTTGCATGACCAATACGAGGGAGACGTTTACATCCAACAATAGACGTCGCCGAGTCAAGGTGACTGTAGCTTGTCTCTTCGATGTTACAGCGGTTGACTGATTTGTTTTACGGCAGCTCTGGTCGTCCAGTCATCGAACGCGTTACAAGTAGGGTAGCAAAAAACTACAGGTATGCAATACATTGTCATTACGTACATACCCATGTACTTCTTCGTACAGGAGGTGCCCGCAAGCCATGGACGTTGCTACAGATATCTTCTCCCGTTGTCCACACCTCAAACTCGAGGCCATGTTTTCAGATTGTGGAGCGGTTGGACTACTAGCAGAAGCGCGTGCGCATGGAAACTTTGTTTTTGGAGGGGGACACTCCACCACGTAGTATTTGCCATTATCGGTGCGGTTTGTGCCACGAGGTTTATTCGCAAAGCCGCGCCCTTCAGCGCGCGTTCACCGACGGAAATGAGCACGTCCCTGGCACTTGCCAGCACTGGAATCACAACGCTGGTGCTTCGTGTTTGCTTCGTGTTTGGCACAAAGAACAACCCAATGACCTTGTCAATCACGTATGATACGGTTCCTGAGCGCATCTTGGAACTGTCCCGGTAGAGCGTGGGAATATGAGGACGGTTGTATGGCGATTTTTCTCGTCTGCTACCGGAATATTAGCGTCCGTCCCGTCGACTCCTTTTCTGCTGCAGAACTTGGACTCTTGTTTCTAGTTCAGCAAGACGCACGTGCCTGTTCGTTGCCACATTGGAAACGACACTTCCCACGCTGTAGGCAACGCAACTCCGAGGCAACTTCTTCCAAGGAAGCGATGCTCAAGAGCAGACACGACGGCTTCGGGGCAGAGGTGTGGACGGCTGCTGCATGACATACTACTGTAGCAGAGGGTGCTGGGGTGCTACTTGGCGCACCTTTTTGGTGGGATGTACAACGCCGCTTGATTGGGGTACTGTGACGTGTCGAAAAGGTTCGCCGGCTCTATTGGAAGCGTCTTGCGAGAGAGAGAGAGGGGGGGGGGCAACGGCGTGCACCGTGGTGCGATCCGTCGTTTTTTTTGTCTCCCGCGGTGAGATGGTGGGAGATTGAAGGCCTGTTTGTGCCGAATGTGCTATTGTCGTATGTGCCAACCCCCATTTCCTTGATACGTAATCGCTGCCAAACATGATGTGTACGTCTTCACAGCGTCGGAATCGTCGATCGTAGTACTAATCCTGATCGATGCGGCGTTTTTTGTAAGCGATCACTGCCAACAGTACGTTCATGTCGCGAACCAGCCTCTGGATTGCCGCTATTATAGTGAGACCTACATCGCTGCTTTGGCGCTATCTTCACCCGCAACGAACGACCACAAACAGGTTCGACAAAGGATTATTCTAGGAACTTTCTCCCTGTCTTCCGGGTATTCGGACAAGTACTACAAGCGGGCGCAGGCGATTCGCGAGGGGCTCTCCCGCGATTTTTCGACGGTTTTCGAGAAGCTGGACGTCCTTGTTTGTCCCACCGCGCCCACCACCGCGTACCGGTGAGAGAGGAATTGTTGATTGATTAGTTGAATATGGTACCAACGACCGGAGGGCTGTAGCTGCTGTGATCGGCGCCGACTAGTTAGCTCAATGTGTTCGTCCCATCCAATTCTGGCGGCAGTCTCAAGAGGAAGCGTTTTGCGCGACAACTGACACAAGATTGCATTGCTGTTGTGTGCCTTGAGCCGCCAGTTCCACCATGAGTGCTGTTGCAGACCGTCTCTCGCAGGAAGTCCAATGCTTGGATAGCAATGATGAAGAAGCCGAATTACATAGATCGGTTGGGGTGAAGTTTGGATTGCCCTTGGATAAGATGATTGTCGGGAACACGCCGAACGCAACATCCGTCAGGTCGAATTTTAGGTGGCAAAGAAATCGTTGTATTGTACATATATCCCGCGCGGACGATGATGAGACCAATTTGCGTGAAATTTATGTTCAGGTTTTCGGGCGGCGGGGGGTTACTTCGGCGCCGTTCGAGGACAACGTTGTGTGATGCCTTGCTGGTTGCCATACTGTCTGTTTCAAGCGTGAAGACTTGTGGGCGAGAATACTAGCAGCCGCCCGCCTCACAGAAAGAACCTCAACCTTGCTGCAATTCAATGACTGACGCATTCCTCTACCCGGTCCTACTTGAACACCTCACCCACTTCAGAGCTGATGCAATTGCAGCTGCTATCATTTCCGGCTGACGCGAAAAAGCAAGACGAACTCACTCCCTAGTACAGTCGACGGTCCTCAATAGCGGTAGGTAGTGACAACAGACCTTGATACCGCTATTGAGGGCACTGTCGCTATTCTCAATAGCGGTACTATACCGCTATTCCTCAATAGCGGTATTAATACCGCTATTGAGGATGAGAGCGGCAACAACGCCGAAGCCATTCCTCAATAGCGGTATCAATACCGCTTTTGAGGATTTGAGCGGCAACGAAGCCGTATTTTTTCACACACACTACGCTCGTTGGTGTCATGTGTTACCTACGCCATTGCGTCCAATAATACATTCGTTGAGCGGCATGTTCATAGTTACTTCGAGTTAGTATTGACACCAGAGGAGTACTCTTGCACGGGTGTACTGTGCAGTATTGAGTTGGCTCAATCAGAAATCCTCACCATCGTGAGGATTTCTGCTGTACTGTACTGTACTGTACTGTAGTACTGTACTCTACAACTACGCCCCCACTAGCGTATCGTAGCAGAGCAACGAACCGTACAGAAAACAGAATGATAGCAACGTTAAATCAATGAACCACAGGTGTAAACAAAACCACACATAGCGTACACAAAAAATGTTAACTGGAGCGAAAAAAAAAAGAGCAGACACTCCTCCCCTCCTACTGCTGCTGTGCTCGACCGACGCGGCTATGATTCAAGAAACATTCTCATGTCTGACTGCTGGACCGGTTTATTAGCGGCGTGGGCTGCGAGGAACGACATCTTGGCCTTGCGAAGAAGATGCTCAGCCTCGTCATTTCCAGCCGACTGTGCGTACTGCTCTAGTGGACCTAAAAATTCCGACAGATCCGAGTCGGCGGCTGCGCCATCAACTTCCTACCCCCAGCACTCTCAACCTCCCCCGTGTTGTTCAGCTCCTCCTCGTCGGAGTCGGAGTCCTCTGTAAAGTTGTCATTTATCTGCTCATTGAGCGCCGCCTCCGCGTCCGCGGCGACCTCATCCTGCTCCTCTATTGTAGCTGCACCCCAAGACTCGACCTCCTCGATGGCTGCCGGGGTGGCGGGCATACTTACCCGGGACGATGCCGGGGTACGAGAGTACCTCGCACATCTCTGGGTCTTGTTCACCACCTCCCCCCACCGCTACCTCCTTCATGCCCATACTGAGGTCATTGGGTGCAGCCGTCAGCCCCGCCACCCCTGTATCCTTATGACCTTTGATGCTCCCCTTGCCTTTGTCGTGCATTATATTATCCTTTTCAGCGGCACAATGCCGCTAAAAAGGATTCATTCCTCAATAGCGGCACAAGTACCGGTATTGAGGGATGCATTCGTGCCAAGCGATTTTGTTGCCGTTATAGAGGGCATCTCGCTATTGAGGGCACAGTTATTGAGGACCGCCGACTATATGTACCATTAATTTTGTCAAGAAGAGGGGTCCAGCGACATGAAGGAATTCCAAACGGCTCACGTGTTGCGTTTTCCTTCAATGCGAACGCTCGCCGAACTCTGCCCAATCAAACAGGTTGGGGGAGTACGCTGAGAAGGGCGTGGGTGTTTACGCCGACGACGTTTTCACGACCCCAGCGTCTCTCGCGGGGCTCCCCGGGTTGAGCGTGCCTTGCGGGCAGGACCGAGCTGGCCTGCCGATAGGCGTTCAGTTAATGGGTGAGCGGACTCGTAGCGGTTTGTGGTTACTTTTGTGTGAGAAATGTTCGGATACAAGAGATGTTGAGCTTCCGTTTGCTTGAGAGTCGGAGGGCGTTCAGTGAGCAAGAAGAGAAGCGCGACCGAAATCGTCGGATTATAAGCCCGCCGCAACCCAAGGCGCCTGGACGTCATTGCAACAGTTCGCCACTCGGCCTCTTGAAATCAAGCAACATCTTACGGATGCAAATGTCCCGCTCCAATCCCCCCGTCCCCCGCCCACGACGCTTTCAGGACAATCATTGTCAGAAGATTTGCTCCTTAGGGTAGGGCAAGCGTACGAGTCCGCAACACCTTGGCATCGACAATTCGCGCCTGGGGTGTCTGCTTCTTCTCCGGCCGCGGCAGTGCCAGCGGGGGCAGCGTAGATAGGGAGCGCCCCGGGTTTGACCCATTAACGAGCGCTTTTTAGCTGGGGTTCTGGCCTGTGAGAACAATCGGTTATCTTGCGATGCTCTGTGGCTTCGCGGGGTCGAACACCGTTATGTAGGTGGCAGCAGCGAGCCTCCTTGACGTCGTCGGTACTTGTATTTTGGGGGTTTTAGGGGGAATCAACAGACACGTGGCTATTGTATGAATACGATGCAGCCGGAAGAAAGAATGAAGCTTATCTTGCGTGTTGTGTCTGTCACGAGTACCGATGGGCGCAACCTTCAACTCTCTTTTGATGATCATACCGTTCGGGGCCTTCTCAGCCACATGTTGAGGTGCCGTTACCATTCACGAACGTGGTACATACTTTGCGTACATGACATGTGTTATCATCACATCCGTAACTTGGTATGTAGCAGTTGAGAATGTTGTACCCATTTACTTAAGTCGACACACCGGGCTCTGCATGGTGTACTCTATGCGCGCTTTCAGCTTCAGCACTGCATATACATGCTGCTGCTGCAGACTGAGGCAGGAAATGAACAACGAGTGCTCGGAAAATTCAAATGCAAGTTCCTGAAGTCGAAACTGATGTAGTCTCCTGCCCCGCTTGCGAGCGGTTAGTGACCAACTCTGGGTGTAGCGCATCAGGCGACCTCCAGTATGGGCGGCAGAATTTTGGGTAGAGATGGGTCCGCGACCTATACTACTGACAGCAGTTTGTGCTGCAAAGAGAGTAGGACGATGGTCTGCTGAGAATATGGTCAACCACCACCGTGCGCCCCACCAAAAAATACGAACCCAAGGCCGCACGAAAGAAACCGTAGCAACAACACACGCCCTTTGAGAGAGCAGCCGTTGAACTGCTGTGTGGTAGCAACAGAGTACAGAGAGCAACACACCCACGCGTGACCGAAAAACATTCGGGTTTCTCGGCCCGTTTTGTCCCATCCCGGCCGTTTGGCGGGCATTCCACATCCCCTCCAAGAGGCGTTCACGGTTCAACGGACTGCCCCCGCAGCGCACGTCCGAGCGGAAAGTGGAAGAGCCCAATATACACTGTACATCACAGCCAACGCGCGCATCAGGGCGAGAGAGGCAAACAAGAGCTCTCCCGAGGTCGTGAGCACTGGGAGACGTGATAAAGGAACTTCTAACGAAGCTTCAGGTGTGCCAATCGACGATGGGAACGTATGGCAGTTGTTCAATCAAGAGAACGAGAGGAATATTGCTCGCGCCGAACCGACACACAGGGGCCCCCGGCGCAGCCAAAATCTCCCTTTCAGCGAGAGCTCTGCTTGCCTTGCCTACAGTCGAACGGTGGTGTCATGCAATACCTGTTCTCGTCCGATGCTCTACGGCGAGATAGTGTGGTAGGTGTAGAGCACGTGTATACGTTGTTGCAGGGCAAGCTGTGTGTGAGTGGATTGCTCTCACGCGGCAGCACACCACTTCCGAGATCCGAGTTGTCTCCCATCCACGTTACTAAGGGCCGCCATACCCTCAGCAAAGGCCTAACGGCCTTGGCCTTTGAGCCCAGCACTTAGCCTCTGAGCTTTCCCGTAGTCGGTGATCGGTTGACGGCAGCCTTGGTCCCCCTCACGCTCGTTGGATGTGTTTTGAGCGTTTCACGAGGGAATAGAAGGTTTGTCCCGTCGTTGTCTGTGTGATTTTTGGCGTACAGCAGTGCCACAGCAGCAGTACAGCGGTGTACATAGACTAGCACTACGAAATCTTATAAGCAGTACATGCAGCATTGGAAGCATCGATGAAGTCATGAACGTACGGACAGCAGTTTTAGGTTTTCAGGTGTCCGTGCCGACTCCTTACTCTTGTCTACAAGTATGTAGACTGCTGTTTGCCGGTCGGTGCATGGGCATCGTAAGGTCGCAGTTCGCAGTGGAGATAAAAAGTGGTATGCTATGTGTTCCGCGCGGGAGATTCCGAAACTCTTTTCCGCGCAGCTCATTGCACCCGGCAGTTTTCTGTTTTTGATGATGATGATGAACCGTAAACAAGTGTGTCGCCATCCCGTTGATGTTTAACTTAACTTGGGGCTGTCCTACTACAGCAGTACGCCCTGCTGAAACGAAACCACGCACATAGCTATCTATATTTTTCCTAGTACAAAAAAAAGATGCGCCGCGTGCTACTGCTGTACGTAGACGTGGGCTGTTCAGACACTGCCCCGCCTGCCGAGGGAAGTACAGTTGAAAATAGCACACGACAGAAACAGCAGAACTTTTCACCATTCGCAGTTCAGGCGCGTTTCGATGAGGGAGATGATCCGATTCGAATGGGATCTCCCTCTTCGAAATGTTCCTGAATTTCGAATGGTCAGTGGTGCTGTTTCCGCCGCGCAAGATGTATTTTCCACTGCTGTTGTACTTGTCCTCGGCACGCCGGGCGGGCGGCCACCTCTTGTGCGGAACTGGGCGAGGTCCTGAAGTGGAGGAGGGGCGCCAATGCAGTTGTAGCGAAGACAGGCAGACAAACAAAAGCGAAAAACATATAGAAGGGCCGGAACAAGCCGAATCCGTGCAATACGAGGGTCAACAGAAACGAATGGACTGGCCAGTGCTTCAGCGCTTGGACTGCTGCAGTACGCGAGTACTAGTATTTTGTCAAGAATAGTCCAGGTTTCACGCCGACAGACCCACAGCAGTAGCAGGACCTCATAAATCCAGGTGCATATGTAGGTTCATTCCAGAGGGAGGAAATAAAGAGAGAGAGAGGGAGGGAGCGGGCCATAAAAACTGAAGTTTTTGCCGTTATGGAATAACAGCAGTAGAAACATCAAATTGCAGAGAAGCGGTCGTTGCAGTGGTACAGCAAGAGATGCCTTATTTTCAGGAGTCCCGCTATCAGCTGCTGTATTTCCGACTTCCGGCGAATCCATACTATGCGGGCACGTGAATGTAGGAGGCTGCGTTTCGATCTCTGTCGTTGTCACTTTGAGTCGTCCGTCCGACTCAGCTTGCTTGTGCCCGAGAGACACGCTGTAAATCTAAGACACCCCACTGCTGTAAAGCCAATTTTGGGTGCGGCGCACTGCACCGTTGTGTAGTCTGTCCTCAGAAGAACCCACGCACATGATAGCACGATACCATAGCTACGGCAGTAGAACCACACACCAGCAACGCGAGTTGGTGTTGCAGGGTTGAACGTGATACAGCAGTGCTGCTACGTATCAAAGCGTGGGGGTGCGGTTAGCTAGATAAAGATTGAGATGGAGGTAGATGCCCTATGTCCCATTGGTCTTGTGCTCCGAAGGAAGACTCGAAACACCGTTACGCATGACACGTCTTCGACGCCGCACAAATAGATGTGTAGACTGGGCGCCAAAATAGATGGGACGAACACACACGTAAACCATAGAAGGACGTGACGGCTACGTTCGCTCCTGCGAGACCGCCCTCCGTGAATGCTTCTTCCACGACCCTGCTGCTTCCTCTGTTGTTTGTTTTCCGCCCCACCTGGCCCGCGCCACCCCGCTCGTCACTTATCGATATTCCGTTGTTTTCGGTGCATTGTTCGATCGCGCTCGTGGGGCAGCGGCACGAAGGGACTCGTTCCCGGTGTGGAGTAGGGGCGTTGCCATGTCGGAGACTACCCTTCAAAAAGTAGAGGCGGAGGTGCAGAAGCTTACGGCGGAGTTGGAGAGCCTGGAGCGAGCTCAGGTGTGCTGTTCTCTCTTTTTCTGGTAGCTTCGCGTGTGGCAAGAGAAAACAAGTGTTCCGGCCCTTGGCAACGATGTGTCATTCCTGAACTCTGAGGTCGATCGTTTTGCGAAGAGACCAACACGTGCAAGGCGCTCAAGAGAGGGAGCAGGAGCAAAGGGGGTGACGGCGGTGGCACCGTATGGGTGAATTGGGGTGCTGGCTGCGCCGTGTTTCATTTGTTTTATTGGCGGTGTCCAGTTAGCCATACGCTTGTGGTACAAGCGAGCCATACGCGTACATGTAGGTCACGGTGTGATTTTTCCGGTATTCGTCGTGCTAGGGGGGTACTGCTCTGCTGTATATGACCAACACCCTATGGACCCACTAGATGTGATGTTTGTCACACTGCTGTAGACAAATATTCCCTGGATTGGATCGTACTGCGTGGTGTCGCCGCCCAACTAACCTAACCACCTCCCCGCCCATTCACAACCTCGTTGATGTTATTGTGACGGCTGCTGCTGCTGCTGCTGCTGCTGCTGCTGCTGCTGCTCTTGTCACAGATGTATTCAGTGGCCTTCGACAACCTGTTGGGGTACGTGAGCGAAACCCCCGAACCGTTCTCGTCCGCACCACCGGAGCCTAACTCCTGGCATGCGAATGTCGGAAGCGCCGGTGGCTGTTGCTCGGTATCGTGATTGGAGGCCACCTCACAAACCACGTTGGCGAGGGGGTCATGAGTACGGGCGTATCGGGGCTACGCGGGAGATGCGAGAATTGCCGGAAGCTCCGTTGCAACTTCCGGCCGCTCCACGTCCGTTTGGCCACATTTCTGTGTCAAGGACGGCGTATGTGCGTTTTTTTTGCCGTGCTAGAGTTGGGCAGCTAGGCAGGAGGAGGTTTGGCGTGGGATTTCACCGATCGAAGGAGCCGGCAGAAAACAAAGTTGATGGTGAGAAGAAAACCGTCAAGTCAAGTCACACAAGGCGAGCGCGTATCTGTGTTGGCTCACGTAGCCAGGCTGGGTATACCGGCGGCGTTTGAAGGATGATCGGGGTGGTGGTGGTATGTCCTGCTAGCCAACGATGAGTTTGTGCATTAACGCCCGTTGTAGGAAGGTCCTGTATTGGGTGTTTCTTGTTTTTAGCTTCGCGCACAGAAAGTCACGGCTCTCGTCTCTGGGCCCGAGGTTAGGATCCAAAAGAGGCCTCGTTGCCTTGTTGTATGTTTTACTTTAAACCGAAGAGTAATGAGTTTCGGTGGCGCTTTTTCTCCACGCACGCCCCTTTTTTTTTTTTGTTGTTATTCTCCCACTGAGAGGGAGGGGGCGAGTGAAGGGGGAGACGCGGTTGGGTTCGGGCGGGCGCAGAGGCAGGGGCACAGCACAGACTGGAAGGGTTCAGAGGTCGATGATCGATGTCGAGGGTTGACCTGGTGCTTGCTTGAG